TATCATAAACAACATTCTAATCAAAAAATAAGTTGTTAATTAAAGGAAAATTTGAAATATTTTGTTCGCGGATTATGAAAATAAACGTTTTTGCGTTGCACTTGTACAGAAATTGAATTAAAATTCCTCATTTTTCTACTAAATGGTACTTAATAAGTGCTTTTAAGGTATATTAAGCATGCACAATGATAAAATTTTAATTTGTTAATAATTATTAAGTTAATTTTTGGATAAAATTTCAGAATTCAACATTCTGTACAAGTACAACGCTTACAAAAAGTCAAATATTTTCTTAATTAAAGCATGTAGAAGAAACCAATATCAACGCAACGATACAGTTTACCATTTTACATAAGTGTTTTGTGTCCTTGATAGCTTAAAATCTTACAAAAAAGAATTGGAAAAATCTTAAAATACTATCCTAATTACAAAAAAAAATTGCCAAAAAAGCATGAAATTTTCAACTTTTGTATTTTTATCTATGCTGGTCGCAGTTCTGTATGCATTTTGATCCACTCAAATATCTATAACTTTATTCAGAATCAATATTTTGCAATCCGTTTTCGGTTATTGCTAGATTAAATCAGTACCTTTAAAATGGTGTATAAAATTTGTATGAAACTTATACTTCTTATGGAAAAGTTTTTAATGTGACCGACGCAAGCTGAAATTTAACAAAATAGCGAAAATGAAAAATTTTTGATAGGTAACCATATAAAAGTAATCGGCCTGTTTCACATTCATTTCTGTATATGTACTTTAAACTTTTGATTTTCGGTAAGAAGTATTAATCATTCAATTTTCTAGCCAAATCGAGTAGATTAACTTCGATTTTTGTTATAATTCTCAAACTAATGAAGATATAAAAATTCTAAGTACATGTTGATTTAAGGAGAAAAGTACTCTAACTAGATCACACATTAGATCTCTTAATAACCTTGAGCGTCTGGAGAAATTTCCACAAAACTGAAGTAGATAATCCGAAATCGAGGATAATATACTTTAGTGAAACAGGCCGAATGTGTTTTGTCTCAGATGTGTTTTAATATGAAATATCAATGTCTACTAGGGTCATACCTTAAAAGCTACCTTTTACCTGAGATAGCAAAAAGTTTATGAAATGTAAATTTTTGAGTTAAAATAGTCATAACTATCATAAATCATCATAAAAAACTACAAATCAATACTTAAATTTGTTTCTAAGTGATATTTCTAGAAATGACGTTTTTGAAATTTTTCTTCGTTTTGGGTCGGTCACAAACCAGGCTTATTTTCATGACTAAGATCAAACTTAACTATCAAGTTTTATACATCATTTGAAAGGTACTGATTTAAGCTATAATAAAATAAAAACTGAATTAAAAAATATTTATTTTTTTGTAAGAGTACTGGTGGTTTGAGTGAAGAAAAAAACATACAAGTCGTCAGATATCAAAAGTACCCTATATCTCGACCAATTTTGACTTTTTTGAAAAAAATTCTTCAAAGTTCATCTTTAAATAACGTTTAAAATCACAATAAATTTATTTTGCACCTGATTAAGCCAAAGTTGAATACAGTTTTGGATTTAAAAGTCAAGAGCTACACGGTGATATATGGTTTTTAGGATAGAAGTTGGGCATTTACGATGGTTGCGGCACGTTTAAAGATATTTTTCCTTGGATTTTCATACATTTGCTAGCATAAGTGTATCTTTATAATACATCATCATAAAGCTCTTATTTGATACTTTTGAAGAATTCAAAACTTTTTTTTGATATCTTTATCTAATGAAGAGATTTTTCAGTTTTAATGAAAAAAATCAAAATTTTCACTTGTTTAACTTCAAACAGCCACATAATTACAAAAAAATTTAAATTTTGACCCATAATGCAAGTACGTGAATTAGGCATGGTAATCGAACGTATTAATATGAGTTTACTTACTGAAGATTCGCAAAACGCAATCAACATACGAGATGATATTGATTCTGAATTTCTTTTGAAAGATTATTTAGAAGATAAGAATGTTACATTCAAGACATCAAATATTGGCGTTGATCAAGAAATTGATATAGATGTTCATCAATTCCCAAATGGCTTAATAATAACAAATATAAATTTTTGAAGGAATAATTCCAAAGCAAATTCTTAATTAATAGGAACTTATCAAGGCAAACAAATCATGATTACTAAAAACACCGATACAACCAGACGATATATAGAAAAAAGATGTATAAATTTGACAAGTATCAGAAAAGGAACTGATTTGGGAAGAAAAGGAAATAGGACGTGGTGATCATAGTATTATACATGAAAATGGAATATTGGGAACAGAAAGAGTTTTAAATATGAATTACTCTAACAAAAAGGCAAAAAAGGATAAAAAAATTTTATGAGATTTTGTAACAATTTACAGTTTAAGAGCTAAAGGTTGACAGCTTATTATGTTGTTAATGAACAAATTGTGGAACTACACAAAAATGTGTTTTACAGCGTTAGCAGTTATTCTGTTACACAAGTGAACCAGAACAAGATTTACCAACAGAATATGTAAAAACTATTAATTTATATTGATGATGAATAAGTTTTTATACCATGAAATAACTCTCTTAAAAATTTTAGAGCAAATTTTCAAGATTTTTACTTCCATAAAAGGAATTAAATTTTTTAAAATATTAAAAATCCCAAAAATCCCAGAAAAATCCCAAAAATCCCAGAAAAATCCCAAAAATCCCAGAAAAATCCCAAAAATCCCAAAAATCCCAGGTTTTCTACAAAAATCCAAAAAATCCCGAAAAATCCCAAAAAATCCCAACTTTTTTTTCGAGTGTATACGCCTTGCTTTAACATTTGTAATACCTAGATATGTTTTGAAATGCAATTTAAAGCATTTTTGGTTTTGATCATAGTAGGCTATTTTAAAAAAAATATCGATTTTATGTCAATATTAGCATTCTTTATCATTTATAATACCTAGATATGTTTTGAAATGCAATTTAAATCATTTTTGGTTTTGATCATAGTAGGCTATTTTAAAAAAAATATCGATTTTATGCCTATATTAGCATTCTTTAACATTTGTAATACCTAGATATGTTTTGAAATGCAATTTAAAGCATTTTTGGTTTTGATCATAGTAGGCTATTTTAAAAAAAATATCGATTTTATGTCAATATTAGCATTCTTTATCATTTATAATACCTAGATATGTTTTGAAATGCAATTTAAATCATTTTTGGTTTTGATCATAGTAGGCTATTTTAAAAAAAATATCGATTTTATGCCTATATTAGCATTCTTTAACATTTGTAATACCTAGATATGTTTTGAAATGCAATTTAAAGCATTTTTGGTTTTGATCATAGAAGGTTATTTTAAAAAAAAATATCGATTTTATGCCTATATTAGCATTCTTTAACATTTGTAATACCTAGATATGTTTTGAAATGCAATTTAAGTCATTTTTGGTTTTGATCATAGTAGGCTATTTTCAATAAAATATCGATTTTATATCTATATTAGCATTTTTTTGTCATTTATAATACCTAGAAATATTTTAAAATGCAATTTAAAGCATTTTTGGTTTTGATCATAGTAGGTTATTTTTAAAAAAATATCGATTTTATGTCAATATTAGCATTCTTTATCATTTATAATACCTAGATATATTTTAAAATGCAATTTAAAGCATTTTTGGTTTTGATCATAGTAGGCTATTTTTAAAAAAATATCGATTTTATATCTATTTTATTATTCTTTATCATTTATAATACCTAGAAATATTTTAAAATGCAATTTAAAGCATTTTTGATTTTGATCATAGTAGGCTATTTTCAAAAAAATATCGATTTTATGCCTATATTAGCATTCTTTAACATTTGTAATACCTAGATATGTTTTGAAATGCAATTTAAAGCATTTTTGGTTTTGATCATAGTAGGCTATTTTAAAAAAAAATATCGATTTTATGCCTATATTAGCATTCTTTAACATTTGTAATACCTAGATATGTTTTGAAATGCAATTTAAAGCATTTTTGGTTTTGATCATAGCAGGCTTTTTTTTAAAAAAAAATATCGATTTTATATCTATATTAGCGTTTATCATTTATAATACCTAGATATGTTTTAAAATGCAATTTAAAGCCCTAGCTGTAGGGCAAGGTAGGAATAGCCGTTGCTTCAGAAAAAGCAAAAAACTTTCCTTTCTTACGAATTTTTCAAAACAAAAGTTCTCTGTGATTTTTATAAAATTCAACTTTAGATGAAAAATTTTTTTAAAAAACTATTAAAGAATGTTCGTTAAGCTTTAAACCTTCGAACATATGTTCAGCGAAGCTCAGCTGACTCGCTGGTTTTATACTTTCAAACTTACCAAGCTTTATACCTTCAAACTTATGCTAAGCAAATCTTGGTCTATCCATAAGACTTTTGATGGTGCGGTGGGAGTATATTCACATTGGGTTTACCCGATACACTAATTTTCGTTTTGTGATATATAAAAAAGAACTGTAATCTAACATAAGTCAAATGCGGAAGCTAGTGACTTTCTACGTAGGTCGTGTTTTTTTCAGATTTAATTACTTTAGACTGTACATTACTTAATCGAACAGATCAAACAAAACTATTTTTTAACGGTTTATTAAAATTCAAGAAAACATCTTGGAAGTAATTTCCTAATTTTCCAATTGTTTTTGGAAATAATTCATTGGAAAGCTTCCGTTAACTGCTGGAAAATATTCAAGGATCTTTCTTTCTAAATTTACTGGAAAGTAATTTTACACTGGAAGTTCCAGTCATTCCACTGGAAGAAAAATTAAAAAATCTTCAAAAATCAATTAATACATGTTAATGACTCAAAAACTTAAGTGTATATCAAAAGCATTAATTTGCTTATATTTTTATTATATTTTATGCTTCATATGAGTGACATTCTTTATGAAAAAAAAAAAAAATTAAACTAATTTCCAGTTTTGAAATTCTTAATAGAAAAAAAAAATAATTATAATGACCAACCTGCTTACATTAAATTCTTTAAATTTTTGATTGATTTATCTCGATTCTTATTTTTCTTCATGATTGCTTGCATCTTATAATCAACAACGGCAGACTTTGAAGACTTTTGAGCGTTAAAAATAACAACTTTGGCTTTTGAGGCGGCAGCAGGTCCAAAATTTACAGTTTTATATTCAGTTGATTTAAATTTGTAAGGTGTGACTGGTTCCTCAATAAACATACCAGCTGATGTCCAAACCGGACGCTTAATTGGTTTCGTCTTTTCAACAAACTTTTGCTTCTTTTTTACAACCTGCTTAATCTCATTTCCTAGTCCTTTTGGAATTACTTTATTCAATTTTGATGTTAATGTCGCTGTTGGCTTGAATGTCTCGGCATGCTTGACATTGGATTTCTTTGATCCATGAGCTTGTGATGAATTTTCGACTTCCTTAAGAATGTTGAGTTTTTTCTTAGCTTTTGGTTTCTCAACAACTTCTGTGTCATTTTCGTCGACAATTTCTGAAATTGGACGTTTCTTTGCCTTCTTTTTCTCAGCAATTGGAGCTAGTTCTGGCTGTGTTTGAATTTCTATTACTGGTTCAATGTGCTTCTTGGATTTCTGTTAAAAATTGAGGTTTGAGATTTAAGTACAAATTCAAATATAATGGCAATAAATTTATTTACCTTGACTTTAACTTCTGTCTTGATTTCAACCTCCTTAACATCCTCAGCAATCTTGTGTTTCTTGGATTTTTTCTTTGTCTTTTCAATTTCCACATTCTCAACCTGTATTTTAGCAGCTTTTTCTTTCTTGCTTGCATGTTTTGATTGATCAGCTTCTTGTACTGCAACCTGTTGTACTTTCTGTTTAAAAATACATTGAGTTAATGACTGTATTTTATTTATTAAGGTCATAATATAAAAATATTACTAATTAATTCTATTCTCATAGAAGAACAAAAGTAACCAATCTTTTGGTCCATAATTTAATTATATGCAGAACTAGCGGATCATCAGTGGGAATGGTTAATATTAACCAAGAAAATTGTAAATTTTTAATTTTATGAAAGATCGGTAACAATTTTTAAAGTGGCAATTCAATTTAACCAATTATGTTATAAGCACTATATTAATGTGTTCTATGAGTGTATATTTTAACTCACCTCAATCATCTTTTCTACAGGCTTGAAAGACTGTTCAGGTTTAGCAGCTTGCTCAGCCATTTTTGCGAGTTTCTTTTCCTTTTTACGTTGTCTCTTGAGTTCCAATTTCTGCTGTAATTTATCCAATCGATCGCTAATGCCTTCTTTCTTGCCATCATCGAATTCTAATAAGATTATAATAATTTAAATGTTTAACGGTCTTGAAAAATTTGAATTGTTAAGGGATTTTAAGATTTTGAATTATTATCATTTACTTTTATCTTAATTAGAAATTCTACAAAAAAGAATTGCTATTTAATGCTTTATTGGGGGTCCTCGATTTGAGTAGATTCGATTTGAACAGAAAAAAATTTACCCACCCAAATATTCGATTTGAGTAGATTTCTTCCTGTTTTCTTCGATTTGAATTGTTTACAACAGGGCTCGTGAGGAGTAAAAAACATTTTGATTTTCTGAAATCTGTTATTTGTGTGATTGAAAAAAATCATGATTTTCATTACGAATTCAAAATCTTTCCGTTAGGATTTAACCTACGTGAATTTGTAATTGTTTACATTTTTTGGAAAGTGATTTTTTTTTATTGAAACTTGAAACTTTCATTTCAAATGATCCAGAAACAGCTGAGTTCACGTAGGTTAAATCCTAACGGAAAGATTTTGAATTCGTAATGAAAATCATTACGTTGAGATTTTGTCTACGTAATGAAATCCTATGTGAAGATTTACGTAGGATTTTAAAAATCATGATTTTTTTCAATCAAACAAATAACAGATTTCAGAAAATCAAAATGTTTTTTACTCCTCACGAGCCCTGGTTTACAAAACAAATATTTTTGATAAAAACATTTCAGAAAATATTTTTAAAACATAAATTTTACTGCAATAAGCGTGAACTTATCATATTGATAGAAAAATCAATACTAAAGTTACAAAATTAAATTAAAACCATTAAAACTTTAAAAAATCGATATAAAATTAACGGGTTTAAAAAGTTCAAATTCAAAAACCTTACAAATTGTTCAGTGAAATAACATTTGCAAGGTTCTCATATTTTTGTTTTGTTCAAAAACATATTTTTTGTGAATTTCTGTTTAAAATTAATATGAATATGCGTTGAAATAAATTAATTTGTCTAAAACACATAGGAAAAGTTAAGCAACGAGGTAAAATGTGCAAAAAATGATCAAAATTTTCATTGTTTTGATACATTTTTTGGACTCAGGAACAAAACATGTAATTTTGTATGGATTCTTTGCCTCGATTTGAGTAGAAATTTTTTGGAACAAAGCAACCACTCAAATCGAGGACCCCCAGTACTTTTAATTAAAAAACTTTTACTACATACGTTACATATTAAATTTAAATTACATTCGTTTTAGGGTTAAACCGTTATAGAAACGTCAAAGTTCAATAACACGTTAACGAAAGTTCAAATTTTGTAAATTTGGGTTCAAAAATTGAAGTTTAAAAGACGAATAATACCCAGGATTTTACTAGAAATTTATTAAGGATTCTCTTTTTTTAGAACCCATAAAATTAAAAAAAAAAAAAACTTTAAACTTACCCTCAACAAGTTTCTGCTTCTTTTTTTTGTTTTTCTTCTTTTTAACTTTCTCAGCATTTTCCTTATTTTCACCAGTCGACGAGTCCAGTTTTTCATCAATGGAAGCTGCTAATTCCTTTTCCATTTTTTTCTTTTCAAGTTTTCTAGCCTTTCGTTCCTTTTTAAGAGCCATATTTGCTTTCTTTTCTTCTTTTGTCTGTTCCATATATTCATTGCATCGATTAAGAATAGCATTAAAGTCCACTTCCTTAGATTTTTTGGTTTTTTTGACAGCCTTGGCTGGTTGTTCTTCAACATCAACGACTTTTTGTTTTTTCTTGGACTTTTTGATTGGAACTGCGTCGTCAACATCCATTGGTTCAATTGAATCATTTTTACTGACCAGATCTAAATAATTATCCATGTGTAATGCTTCAGATTCATTTGCAGACATTTGTTTGAGCCGTTTTGAGGCTGAACTTTCGTCGTCAGCAACTCGTTTACGTTTCTTTCCAATACTAATCTCTTCTTGACTTGATTCCTTTGCAATTGTATCAGATTTATTTAAGGAACTGTTTTGAACACTTGAAATATCAGATGATTTTGGCGATTCTAATAATTTAAGACTTTTTCTGGCAGATTTGTTGAGAGCTTTTGGTGATTCTGCAACCATTTCTTCTTCAACAATTGATTTTCGATTCTTTTTAGCTGATTTTTCGAGTGCTTTTATTGGACTTTGAATATTTTCAGCCTGCGACAATGTAACATCAAGGCTTGACAATGTTTTACGATCTTTCTTGTCTGATTTTGGAATCTTTTCACTTTCTTGAATGATTGGCAATGACTTACGAGTTTTTTTGTCCAATTTGGAGAATTTTTCTGGTGATTCTTGAGTCACTTCCTCTACATTCTGAATATTTGACTTACGATTCTTACTGGCTGATTTGTTGAGAGACAACAGCACGCGCTCAGCGTTTTCTGCATCACTTAACGCCTTTTCAGCATCGGTAATAAATTTTTCCGCGTCACTTAGTGCTTTGTCAGCTTCAGCTTGTCTTATTGACTTGCGTTTCTTTTTACTAGACTTTGGTGGACTTTGAGCTTGTTCTGCGTCACTTAAAGATTTTTCTGCATCACTCATTGCCTTTTCTGCATCACTTAGAGATTTTTCTGCCTCTTTGTGAATGTTAGATTTACGGCTCTTTTTAGCTGATTTATTTAGAGCTTTTGATGGACTTTCAGAGCTTTCATTTAAGTTTGGCAATGATTTACGAGCTTTCTTGTCTTTAACTTCATTTTCTACGATATTTGGCAAAGATTTACGGCCTACAATTTGTGACTTAACAGGCGATTCTTCTGGTTCTTTAGCTGAAGACTTTTGCGTGCTAATTGGATTTTCATCTTCGCTTTCTGAGCTTGATTGAACGATTATTCTAGATCTACGCTTAGTTTTTGATTTATTCAATTCAATTTCTTCGATTAATTTATCATCGCTGTCTAATGAATATCTATCATCAATTTCCTCGTCTTTATCTATAAATGAATCGTTTTCGTATTCATCGCTTTCTTCTATATCCTCGTCTAATTCATTAGAATCCTGTGAACCCAATGACTCACCATCCTCAATAACTTCGTTTTGTTCCAAATAATCTCGTTCACTTTTTGTCATCGATTCCTCTTCATCGCTAGCTACTTCTGCCTCGTCGTCAATAAATGAATTCCTTTCTGTCTCACTTTCGCCATCAGATTCATCACTTGAAATGACTTTTTTCTTGCTTATGGATGTGTCATGAATAACTTCAGTTTCTGGTTTTTTCATGTTGTCAATTTGTGACGACGATCCAATAATAGATTGGTTCCAAGTGTTGCTTTTATTTTTCTTATTTGGAGATTTCTTATTGTTAACAACTGTCATTTCCATGTCTATATTTTGCTTATTTGTCTCATCTAGTGACGGTTCTTCTTCATCACTTCCAATTTCCATGTCTACTGTAGTCATTTGTGTCTTATTGAATGACGGAACCTTTTTGACTTCATTATTAATAGGTTTTTGTGTAGCAACAAAATCGTCCATCATTTCTGACACAATCTCATCATTTTCCTTATTTATACTGTCATTCTTAGCTGATTCATCTGCCTTATTAGAAAATCCACTATCCTTTGATATTATTGAGTGTTCGTTTTCATTAATTACATCAGTTTCAGTGACTTTTGTCGGTTCTACATCAGTTGGAATGACTTCATCTGCTGTTTCTGCAGTTTTTTGTTGTGTATAATCTTTTGGTTTAAACAATAGTTTTTCTTTTTCGAAATATTCAACTATATCATTAACTCTTTGTAATGGCAAATATCCAGATCCAACATTTGTATCGTCATTTTTGTTTTCTTGGCTATTTTGGCTGCCTTGACTCTGTTTTTCGGGTGATTTTGAAACTTGAATAATTAGATTGGAACCTTCTGAATCACTTGCTGCAAAATCATCCTGATCATTTGAACTCAGTGGCTCAATAATATTTTTGCGGTAGTTCAAAAATTGATTTTGTGGCGAACTTGATCTTTGTGATTCTAAGCTGGAAATTTGAGAAGCTGATTGCATAAATTCATCAGAAATTGTCTCTGCGACTGATGATAAACTTTTTCTCGAACTTTGGCGTCGTGAGAGAGCATAACTTGCAAAATCAGGCTGAGTTGGAATGTCTGTAGCACTTTCGTCGGCAATTTTTTGTGAACTGGACTTCTTTTTCGGCGATTTTGATGGACTTTGTGATTTTTCATTTTCCTGGACTACTTGCAAAGACTTCTTTTTCGGCGATTTTGATGGACTTGTTGATTTCACTGCACTTATATTAGCTTCCATCGAGTTATCGTCATTTTTCATTGAATCATTATCAATTTCTTGTACTGAACTGACATTAGATGAAATGGAATTTCTTGGTATTACTAATGGAGACTTGGAAATTGAACGATTTCTAAGTTCCAAATCATGTAATTCTGCAGATTTGTTTAGTTCAGCAGAATTATTCAAATCAGGGGACTTATTAAGATTCACAGATTTATTAATCTCATCAGATTTTCCATTTTGTTTAGGTTTATCGTCGATTTCTGGTTGTTCCTCTTCAGCAACTTCCTCTACTTTAACAAGATTAACACTCACACGCTTCATAACAGACTTTGTGCGAGGAGTTACAGGCGCTTCATTAACAAATATCACATCATCATCATCACTTTCAGTCACAGTTCGCCTAATTGGAGGACGTTTTAATCGAGGACTAGGAACAACTTCAACATTATCACTAGACATTCGTCGTGTAACACGACGTAGAGGACTAGCTGGTGTTGTTGTTGCTTCTACGATTGTCTTTTGTACTGAGCCTGCTCTAGTTGTTCGTCTGGTCGGTGTTATTGCTGAAAAACATAATTTTATTAATGTAATTGATGATGATTTTAATTGTTTTGTAAATCTACCGGTCTCATCGATTGATTCAAGCTTTTTGGTAGCTCTCAATCTTCCAGTTGGTGTTTCAGGTCTTTCATTGTCTTGATTAAGCGATTCTGAAGAGTTCATTCGTCGCATTGATCGAGTAACTGAAATTTAAATATCGTAGAGGTTATTTTAACCGTTTTCTGGATCATTTCATAGAGTTTCACTTTAATTAACAAACCACTTGCTCAAATTAATGTAATTAATCTTAAATTTTTGTTTATTTTCAATCTTTATGTTGAAAAAACGTGTTCGAATTTCAAAATTTTGCACAAATTCTTTTTTCTCATTTTTACCCAAATTACCTCGAGGAAGCGAGTCACTCTTCTCTATATTAGCTGACATATTACTCTTATCTACTGTTTAATGCACTTGTATTGTTAAATTAACTGGTTAATCACTCAATAATTAAATATTTTATTGTCGAACAAAAAATTGAACTTGCTTGAATGGTTTCAAATTTAAAAATTACCGTTGACTGTTGAAAAATCTCCGTAAACTTGATGCGTTTGTGGCTAAAGCGCATTTTCAATATTCAGTTAAATTTCGTACCTTTCAACAGCTTAAAATCAAACAAAAACAAAAAAAATTGATTAATTCCGTTAAAATTTCTTAATTAAGTTGACTGGAATCAATGAGAATAAGCAACCAAAATGAAAGCTTTTTATATAAAAATAAAGCTATAAAGGAATGGAAATGCATCGGTATTTCTTACTTGACAAAATCGAATAAAAATCTAATGATTCTGTTTTTATTAATTATTTTACACTTTCTTTCATAATTTCTCAGTTTGTAGATTTTTAATGATGATGATAATAATAAGTTGTAATATTAGGATAGAAGGAAAATTGATAAATGAGTTGTTAAGAAAAATAAGAATTAAAAAGAAAGTTTTAGTTGATGATAATCTTGCGTTTCTTTGTTGTGGCTGTCTCTAACATTCCATCATCGCAAGGGAATTTGAGTTCTCATTGCCAGCACCCAATAATTGTAAACTACTTCCTTCTTGCGATCCATCGTTCAATTCTAAGTCTTCATTCCACTCCATACCATTTTGTTGTGGATTGCTCTCTCCATTCGTGCCATTCTCAATTTGCTCTTCAGTATTGTTTGTATCATCCCAATTAATCTTAAATCGAGTAACGCGGGGTTTTGTGGCAAGGATGTTTCGGGTCATTTTATCAAATTGAGGTTTCGTTGGTGGATTTTCACGTAATTCCGGATCACTATATTCGTTATTAATAAAATATCCAACTCGAACAAATTCTTGTCCTTTATATGAACATGTAAGCAGTACAATTGTAACGCCGAGAGCATCTTGTTCTGGGATCTTTGTTGTATCTGGTGGATCTGCTTGAAATACGAAAATGTGTCGTCCTTCAGGAATTGGACCAACGTAAATCTAAAGAAAGAAATTAAAGAACTTTTAACATAACTGTACAATAAGTTTTACAAAAGAACGCTTACTGTATCTAAGACTTGATCATGTTCCTCTGACTCAGCACTTCCGACATAAATCATCTTCCATTCTAAATCCTCTTTTAGTTCCTCAATGCACTCAAAAGTCAGTTCAAATTGGAAAGGATTAAAGAAACTGCTTGGATTATCTAAAACTACTACGTTCGTAATGTGCACTTTAGCCATGTCTGTTTGCTGTAACTTTGGATTATTGCTTCTTTATTAATAGCTGGATTTAACTCGTTTCTATGAATTGCGAAAACAAAAGATGAAAACTTAATTTTAGAGATTTTTACGCCGGCTCTATACTTACTTTTACTGTCAATTGCCTCAACAGTCGCTTAACTTCCTGATACGACCAAGATTGTTAATTAAAATGCTCAGGAAACTAGGTATTTAATTAAATTATTCAAATAAACAAAAGTTTTTAGCGCCAAATTGACAATCAGTCTAAAATCGTTTTTACCTTCTTTATTTTTTCAAATATTTCATGACTGTTAAAAAGTTGGGAAATCACAAAGAATTTAGAATTGTAAAAAAAACATTAATAACGGTATATTTCCTTCCAAAATAGTCATTACTTATCTAGATTTTGATCATATCAAAGGTCATTTTAGAAGCTCGAGTGTTAAAATGTCTGGTATCAAGCTGTATTATCACATTATTTCACCACCAAGTCGCTTTGCTTTATTGACATGCAAGATGCTCGGATTGGACATTGAGGAAGTGTAAGACATGTGTCTTAATATCTGTCACACCCAATTAATATATATGAATTTTTGATCCACAGAGAGATTGACTTACTAGCTGGAAAGCAATATACGCAAGAATTTCGAGACATAAATCCAACACAAGCAGTTCCAGCACTAGTCGATGGAGATATTAAAATATTCGATTCCAGTGCCATCTCAATCTATTTGGTCGAAAAGTATGCAAAGGATGATTCATTGTATCCAAAAGATCTAGAAATGAGGACAAAAGTTAATGAACGACTTTTCTATGTCTCAAGCTACTTATTTCCCCGTGGATATTCCATAATTGTAGGCAGCATTAAAGGAACAATGACTGAGATTCCACAAGACAAAATTAATGAAGTGTTGAGAGGATATGAATGCATTGAATACTTCCTGAAAGACAATGATTACCTTGCTGGACCTAAATTCACATTATGTGATTTGTTCTTATGGTGCATAATGGAATCAGCTAATCAGATACTTGCAATTGACGAGAATCGATTCCCAAACTTCTCAAAATGGTTAAATAAGGTCCGTAATGAGAATGAATTCTTTGAATTGAATAAGAAAGGTGCTGACTTTCATATTGACATTTTCAACAAGTGCCTTGAAAGGAACCGCCAACAAGCCGAAAAGAATGAATGAGTTAATTAAATTAACATCAATTAGAATGTCATATTGGGTCAGAATTTAATTGAATAAAGATGTCTGGAAAGTAATTAATTGAACAGTCTGTTACAATTAATTTAATTATTTTATTGGATTCATTTCAGTTCCCCACATGAATATATCGTAACTTTTTGTGTCGATGCACCAGACTTGCTTCCACATTTCTCCATCTTTTTAACGACTTCAGCACCAGCAATGACTTTTCCAAATACCACATGTTTGCCATCAAGCCAGTCTGTCTTAGTTGTGCATATAAAGAACTGACTTCCATTTGAATTGGCACCAGAATTAGCCATTGACAATGTTCCAAATCCTGTATGCTTAAGTTTAAAGTTTTCGTCGGCAAATTTAGCTCCGTAAATGCTTTTTCCGCCAGTTCCGTTGTTTTTTGTAAAGTCACCTCCTTGACACATGAATTCTGGAATAATTCGATGAAAGCTACTTCCTTTAAAGCCATATCCTTGTTCGCCGGTGCATAATTGTCTGAAATTCTCAGCTGTTTTTGGAACAATGTCAGCTCTAAGCAGCATAACTATTCGGCCAACATCAGAATTTCCAATTTTTATATCGAAATAAACTTGTGGATTAGGATTCTTCTTCTCTTCAGTGACTGGAGCACTTACAGTGACACTTTCGACATTCGTTTCCTTTGATTCCTCTGTATCATCTAGTGTCTTTCCTGCATATTTCTGTAACCATGTATCTTCAGCCCAAACTGGCTTTATTGAGTTCTCTTTCATTCTCTGTGGTTTTGCTACATTCACTCTTATCGTACGTCCTCTAGAAGTTCCAACCATTACTTAATAAAATAAACTTATAGACTTTGATTTTTAGTACTCACGAAATTTCACTGTCATTCATATTGTCTACAGCATGTGCGGCATCTTCACTAGTTTCATAACATACAAATGCAAATCCTCTGTGCTTTTGTGTCTCATAGTCTAGTAAATTTCATTAAATATCTTCAATTTATTATAATCGTTTAAGAAAATTAATAACAAACCTGTCGGCATTTGAATTTCTACGATATCCCCAAAGACTATGAATATATCATTAAGGAGCTTCTCTGTTACTTCATCAGCTAATCCTCCTACGTATATTGTATTCTTCTCATTTGCCATATTAAAGCTTAATTAAATAATATTTTGAATTATTTGTTTGAATTCTTTGAAAAAATGTAAACACAAGAAAAATAAAGATTCAAATTTAAAACAACCGTTATTTTCAATACAAAATAAAATTCATCTTTATTATCGAAATTCAGGTTTGTATCACAAAGCAGCCCCATAGCGTCATAGCTCAATGTCTACTACGAAAAGAGTTTCCACTATCACGATCAAGTGCCTCATATTTCGCCTTCAGTTCTGTATGCTTAATAGTAAGTAAATGATTCTTTAAATCAATTATTGTCTCAATACGTTCGTCGCAAGCTAAGCATTCAATTTCTTCGTGTTTACTGTTGTATTTCTCCTTCTGCTCGAGATTCTTGAAATGATTAATCATTCTTTTCACTGATTCGCGTGGTATTTCATTAAGCTTAAATGGTTTTAGTGATGCAAACATCTTCAAATGCTCACAAATTTCTCTTTTGGTTAATTCAGTCCAATCAAAATTGTCAGCATAGACTTGACCAAGTTGCAAGCGTTCTTTTTTGATAATTTTAAGTAACAACGAGCAGGCACGTGTTCGAGATTCATTAATAACGTTTACTGGATTTAATTGATATTCATAATGTTCAGTCAAGTTTTGTTGCATTAAAAGTGACAGTTCTTTTCGTAAATTATTAATCCACGTGATATCCTCATTATCTATTTCAACATCAGTTCTGACCATGCAGTCATGCTCGCCATAATATGATTTTCCATTAAAATCACACCCAAGACCAGCGAGAATGCTTGTGTATCGAGTCTTTTCCTTATTATGTCTTATTTCTGCATATGGACTGAATATTAATGTCAAAATTGATGTCATTCCTATCATTTGTGGCATAATTGTTGTTTGCTTCAAGTTTATTACTCCTCGATTACTTTTAGATTTGGACGATGCAACAAGAACTTTCTTAATGCCATTGTGAGGGTATGGATCCAATAAAACAGAATTAATTGATGAATGATCAACGACTATGTCACGTTCTGGTGCTCGATGAATTTTCTCTAAGCGTTTGGTGCTTTCTAGTGGCGTAAATGGACCTAATAGATCACATTCGATATCAAGTAGTCTTTCTGGATACTTGACATCCTTAGTTTCTTTATGAATTGCAAATTTCATACCTTGAGAATTGTCATTTAATGTTTTTGAGATCATGGCAACATACGACTCGTTAGAATAGACTGCAAGTCCTTTATGGACCAACTTTGAATTAACATTAATTGGTGCAGATGTTGGATTAGACTTAGCATAAACCTGAACATATGCAACCTTATCGTAAGCATTAAATGAATATAAATCTAATTGAATAATTTTATTATTAATCAATTCCTTAAATCCATCAATTGCCTTCTTACTCCATCCATATTGTTGTGTTGCTGTCGGTTGAATTTCTGCTAGTTTACATTCATAACATAAAGGTGGTAATTTAAAGAACGATCGAATAATGTCCTGTCGTTGATCAATCTTTACAGCTATTCCAGTAAAAAAGCTATAGACTGTGCAGTCAATAATATTTCCATAATCAATCAAGAGAACTTTAAACACGATTTCGTTTTCTTTTGGATATTCAACAATCTTTCCACGCTTATAGATGCTTTCGTTAAAAACCATAATTTTATTATCAATAATTTCATCTAGTCCATCAAAATCTGTGATTGACTTTAGATTAGTTCCAATGACTTTTTTCATTTTGTCTATTGAGTTGATGGCTTTCTTTGGTTGGAAGTAGAATCTGCTTGGAGATTGAATCTGTGAATTAAGATTATTTTTGACGGGCTTTAAAAATTTGAAAAATAACGTTTTTTTGTAATTTGAAAATTATGAATTTGGAGCAAAAATTCAAATCAATTTATAACGTTCGATTCTAAACATAATTTCAACAACTTACATGAGTAATGTCACCCCATAAATACTGTCCTTTGTCACTCAGTTTAATCGATAGATTAGGAAATATGCTGAATTTAGCCTTTAACTTCAAATCATGTCCAACAGAACTTTCATTGTACAAGTCAATAACTTCCTCAGATGGCGAATAAATCTCTTCATTTTCAGGACTCATCATGTACAAGATCATGTCATTGTTATGCTTTAGAGATCGATATTTAAGCCCTCGATAAACTTCCAATTTAACTTCACCTGGCATTTTTACTTCACAGTCGTTCCTTAAATTGTTAAATTCGACATAGACTTTTTGTGAATTGCTGTCAAAAGTTACAGAAGCATCGTCTGCACAATTCGTAATTTCGTTCTTATATAGAAGTTCTCTTAACTGTTCTTCATACAAGTGGCCATTTTTAGTCGACATTTTTGTTTGAAAATAGACAGTTGACAACAAACTTTTGTTGAAGACATGCTTAAATTCTTCTCGTCCTGGAATGTCTCCACCGAATGTATAAAAGTTGGGATAAAAAGCACCAGCAATGCAGAATTTAATGGCTATGAGTTTCTCTTCAGTTGTGTATCGGAAATTATCGTTAATTATGTTAAATTGATGAAGTCTGTGCTTTATATCCGTAATTTGCTTCATCATTTCCTTAATATTCTTATAGCTTATCATCTGTCGCTTGCACCATTCTTCCTGTATATGGGGTTTTATCTCATTATTATTGTTTCTGATCCATTCTGTGTACTTATAGTAAGCATTCAGTATTGCTATCAAGTCACTCGTTGAGTCATGATTAAGTTTCGTCTCATAGCTGTTCATGCTGCTATCGTGAATGAAAATTGTTCCAACACTTAGCCCAGCAGCTATGATTATGCATTCATTAAGAACACTAAAGGCATATCCAAGAACGACAAGCTTCGATAAACGTATATCCATTGGAAGCTTGCTCATTATTGCTCCTGTAAATGTCAAATTTCCATCAAGGAAGTCAAACTCTTTCTGTCTCTTATTGAATCTTGTTAGTGCTCCATTTTCTTTAAGCATTAAAATTGCATCAATAATTCCAGTTCTTGTTGGTGGATCTAATGCTATAGCTAATATGTCTGTAGGTTTTCCCATCTCTAACTTCTTAATTTTTAAAATGACATTTTCTAACGATGTTCGCTGCATTTCAGCTTTAGTTTCGTTTGGAAGTTGCTCATATTGTTCTTTATACATCATTCTTATTACTTGACCAAAACTTGTTCTTCCTGTACGTCCAGCACGTTGTTCACAATTCATTTTTGATGCCCAAGCCAGTTTTAATTGTGTTAAGCTTGAAGCGCTGTCAACTTCGAGATATTTCGTCAAGCAAAAGTCAATAATTATGCGAATTCCAGGAATTGTAATTGAACTTTCTGCTATGTTTGTGGCTAGAATGACTTTATTCTTTAACGATGTGTCATAGAGACTTTTAAAGTTAGTAAGTGGAATCGATGAATGGAGAATAAAGACTTGATAGTCTCGAATATCAAATTTTTCTCTTTTAATACTTAATTCACGATGAAAGCATTCAATTTCATAAATTCCAGGCAGAAAGACGAGAAATGAGTCAGCACCTTTCTGACAAAAGAAATCAATGATATCAGCCCCAAGTCTCATTACATTCCTATCTATGCCTGCATCATCTAAATCAATATTTTCTTTAACATTTCCTAAATGCTCCAATTCATCGAGATAATGAATCTTTACTGGAAATGGCTTTGGGACGTTTAAATTAATTACCGGTGGACGATGTAAAATTTGGAAGTAATCAGCAATTTTATCACAGTTTAATGTTGCAGACATAAGAATAATTTTTGTTTTAGAGTTTGTTGCGACCATCAGACGTCGAATGATTAGTAGAACCATATCCATATCCAAGTCTCTTTCGTGAATCTCGTCTGTTAATTAGATTAATACAATTTCGTTTTTAAAATTTAACGGATTTTAAGGTTTTAAAATTTACAGGTTTTTTGAAATTTCAAATTATGCTGTTTCTTCAAATTTTGATAATTAACGGGTTTTAAAAAATTATCTTGAATATATTCACAGACAGTTATGCTGCATAGATTATATCGTAATATTTAACACTTATGGATAATGTTACCGCATAAAAAATTATTCGAAATGACTCAGAACGTAAAATAATCAACAAACGAATAACAACTGTTGATTCAGCAAAATAGTATAAATACTCAACTTACCAATGACAATATGTGTCCATTTCTGCAAACTTTTATAATGAACGAGTTTCTGTAAGAAGACTCCGGTTGTGCAATACAAAATTCGTGTATCTTCAGCATTAATTTTTTTATCCAGACCAACTTGATATCCAACTAAACTACCGACTTCACATTTTCTCTCAAAAGCAACTCGAGTTGCGAGACTCTCAGCACTAATTTTCTTTGGCTGTGTAATGACTATGTTGCATGGAATGTTACGTTTTTGGCAATCTTCCAGTATGTATTGTGGAACTTGTGAGCTCTTTCCAACACCTGTATCAGCTTTTAATATTGTTATTTTATTCGTTTTAATAGTTTGAAGGATCTGATTATGCTTAGAATCTATTGGAAGTTTTTGTCGTGGGATGTCAAATTCATATTTTTTATAAATTTTCTTATGTTCAGGCTTGCCATCTTGAATTTCTTCAGTTTCAGCTATTCCTAATGTATCATCAATCTCTTCAACGGGTGTATTAAGGAATTCAGTCAATATCTTTCGTTCAGTTGCGATTCTATTTGATGTTAAATCATCAATTACTTCTCGTTTAAAATTGATTTCTTCATCTTTTGCAGAAACGTTCTTAACTATTGTTAAATTTGGTTTTGGCTGGATTTTATGCTTCTTTGGCATCTCACCTCTGAAGAATGCATCTATTATATCATCTTCGTCGCTTGATTCCATGATTTTTAATTAATTTTAAAAACAACGAATTTTCACTTGAAAAAAAACATAAAATAAACAAAAAGTATGTAAAGAGTGCGGGAAAATTCAAATTCTTTAAAAAATAACGTATATTTTTATTGTTTCTCTTAGATACATAATAATTAAATAAATGAGGTATAAGTAAGGCAGTGAATTGAATATTATTCCTTAGCATCATTAATGCCGTCAGCTGATATTGAGAACATTGCTTCTGCTTCAGGCAAGCATGGAGAGTCATAGATTTTACAAACGCGATTTTCACCTCGTCCTTTTCTTAAATACAGTCTAGTCGTTGAAGCATGAGCTATAATATTGCCACCAATTGGCTTCTTATTTTCTCCTTGAAACATTGATGAATTGTCGACATTAGCAACAACTTGGTTTGTTATCAAAATTGCAACACCAAACTCATCAGCCATTCGAAGCAAGTGACGTAAAAATCGAGCTAGGTGCATTTGTCTCGCTGCTAATTCACCTCGTCCACAATAATCTGTTCTGTAAAGTCCAGTTGCGCTGTCAATAATCATTAAGGCAAATCGTGTTTCAGACATTAAGGCTGATGCTTGAATGAGCAAGTTCAATTGATGATCTGTATTGTATGCCCTAGCACATGCTACATTGTCAAGCACTTGTTGTGCATCCATATTAAATCGCTTAGCTATTGCAATTAATCGTTCTGGTCTAAAAGTTCCTTCTGTATCAATATATAAGCACTTTCCTTCACCACCACCCATATTTGTTGGCAATTGACATGTCACAGCTAATGTATGTGCTATTTGTGTCTTTCCAGTTCTAAATTCTCCAAAAACTTCAGTAATCGATCCAGTCTCTAAACCACCTCCTAATAATTTGTCTAATTCGCGAGATCCAGTTGTAATTGATATTAAATCAGCTCGTTGTTTAAGAACTATTGATGCTGTTGTTATACCTACACCGACTGTAATAATGGAACTTGTAAAGTTTAACTGAAAGAAAATTTTCACTTTTCCTCGTACCTAATTTTCCCGCTTCTGCAATCAATTTTTCAGCCTTTTGATCAGAAATTCCTTTAATTAACATTAAATTCTTCTTCAATGCATAAGCAACTGATTCGACTGTATAGTAACCGGATTCCATAAGTTTCTTTAAGTCTCCTGATGTTACGCCATTTACAGACTGTCAAAATTAATTAATTTTTGTTGTGAAATTCATTGAAAGTAAGTTGATCAATATTTTTACCTCTAATTTTGATACTGGTGAGAATGCTGAAACTTCTTGATCTTCCTCCTGTACAGTATCAACAGCTGCTGTTGATTTTGAAGCTGATGCTGCTGCCATTCTTTCGATATTTTAGGTTTATTAATTTTATTATTTTAACCGATAAAAACAAACTAAAGCAAGTAAAAAGTCACAAATAATTGAATGACCTGAGCGCATTGCAAGATCCATGAAAAAATGAAGAAAAATAAAACACTGAAAACAACAAAATTCTACTATAATTAATGCGTATTACTAGCTTTTTATTTATAACGGCTGTTCACATTTTTATTACGATTTTATCCTTACACTTTCAGACTTAATTAAAAATTGAAATTTTAAGAATCAGAACGAGTTTACTTTTGCTTCTTAGGTTTAAGGATATTGTAGGCGATTACAAGACCCATGACTGCATATGTAGCCTTTGCAACCTGAAATTAAAAACATCCAGTAAGGTTTAACTGCGCATTAATAGAAGAATTAATAAAATAATTTACATTAGCACGTCCTGTGTATGTTACAGCATTAAAGTGCTTGGAAAGTCCAGTCAATTTTTCACCTTCACCAGCCATTCTAAAATAAAAGAATCGTGGGTTTGATAGACTATCGTTGAAACTACATAATTATCTACTTTTTGTACTCACTCAAATGGAATTTAATTATTTATTTTTAAGAATCGACTGACTGAAAAAATTATGCAATGAGCCTAGATTGATCCAACTCACTGATGATTCTATGCCTTAACATCCTTAAAACAATTTTAACGCTCATAAAATATTTGAAGAAAGTCAACAAAAAGTTTCAGTTCACATCTTTTGGCGCGAAAATAACCAGAAAAATTATTCATAAAATAAAATAAATTAAATTAAGCAAGTTTTAAGCCATGAGTGATGACAACGAAGATACTGGTGAGTTCTATATTCAAAAATCTATCAATATAGCTATAATTAAAGGTAATTACAGGCTTAACAGCTTCAAGAACAAAGAGACGAAAAGTTGAGAAAAGAAGTGCAACAGCATTCGAACGATTGAGAGAATTAAAGCAGTCAGGAAGCAAGAACAAGTGGGTAAATGAAGATGATTCCAAAGTTTATGATGAAGTGGATGAGGATGAATACACAAAAATCGTTTCAAATAGAGCCTGTGATTGGATTGTTGATGATGGTAAGTTACTTCTATTCTGGATCTTAAAGACTATTAATTAACAATAATTATAGATGGTGCTGGATATGTAGAGGATGGCAGAGAGATATTTGACGATGTTGATGATGATTATGAAGTTCAATCGAATTCAAATAAGCGTAAAAGTGTTCCAAAGAAGAAAGGAAAACTTCCAGAGGAACCAGCAGCTAAAAAGAAGTCATTAAAGAACTTTTTCAGTACCAAAGATGTCAAAGAGAAAGAATCATCAAGTGTTAATGAAGACAATCTCCTAAAGAACATATTGGGTGAACTGGATGAAGGAAGTACGTCCACAGCTAATAATTCATTTAATAACGTTGCACCAAAACCACTTAAAGTCATCCGCAAACAAGCAACAGAATCGGAAATTGAGATGAAAAAGTATATGGAACAATTTGGGAAGAAGATTGCAGACAAAAAGAAGCACGATGTGGACGGAGATGTAAGTTTAATGCTTTAAAAAAATATTTACTTTTCGACTTTTATTAATGAACTCGTCTCGTATTGTTTATTCAGGAAATATTAGACTCGTTGCTCAAAACTGAACGAGTAAAGGAAGCAAAGAAGAAAATAGTCGAAAAGGAAGAACCAGTCATTCATAATGAAGTTGCAGTTATCAAAACAGAACCGGTACCTTTAACAGCTAAGCAATTACAGGAACAAGAAGAGGCTCGTGAAATTATGGAAGTTTCAATGATTGATGATGATTTTTTAATGGACGATGAAGTTGTGGCACCAAAAAAAGTTGAAAGTCAGCAACCAAAAGTCCCAGAAGTAAAGGCACAAGTTCTAGACAGCAGTAAAATACAATCAAATGGCACAAAAATCAAATCTATTTCTACAAAGTCTGCTAATATTGATACAACTATCTTTGATGAACTAAAAGACATCGATTTCAATGCCGAAATGTTTGATGAGGACATTGGGAACGTTGATTTTAATACTGTAAGTAATTTTGAACAATAACTGCTAAAAGGAATTTTAAAAATCATGCAAGAATTCGATGCTGGGTTATAAGTCCAGAAAATCAAAGTGACTAAAGGTTTATAAGTCCAGATACAAATTGCACCTGGACTTAAAAACCTCACGTGCAGTTTATAAGTCAAGGTACAAATACAGCTGGAATTATAAACTGCACGAGAGGTTTTTAAGTCCAGGTACATTTTATATCCTATAACCTTACGTGTGGTTTATAATTCCAGAAAATTTATAAATTTTACTTATAATCTCCCAGTGCGATTATAAGTCAAGATACATTTTTCTGGACTCATAATCTTTGAAAATTATTTGAAACTTATTTAACTTATTTTAAGTTTTTTACTTTAAGGCAATTCTACACATGAATTTTTGAAAACTTCACACAAAGAATTCACATTTGATAATTTTTTTCCTCTAAAGTACCTTATATATCCTTTTAAGCTGCTGTATTTCACTATCCCCCTTGATAATAACTTATTAAGATTTTTCATGCCTTAATCAAGGATAAATTTCAATTCTTTGGAATTAAAAATTAAAAGTCAACTAGTGAATCGGGTAGAAACCCAATGCGGATTATATTCACACCATACCATCAAAAGTCTTATGGATAGACCAAGATTTGCCCAGCATAAGTATGAAGGTATGAAGCTTGAAAAGTCAGCTAAGATTCGCTCAGCATAAGTTTGAAGGTATAAAACTAGCGAGTCAGCTGAGCTTGACTCAGCATAAGTTTGAAGTTATAAAGCTAGCGAGTCAGCTGAGTTTCACTCAGCATAAGTTTGAAGTTATAAAGCTAGCGAGTCATCCGAGCTTTGCTCAGCATAGGTTTGAAGCTATAAAACTAGCGAGTCAGCTGAGCTTGACTCAGCATAAGTTTGAAGTTATAAAGCTAGCGAGTCATCTGAGCTTTGCTCAGCATAGGTTTGAAGCTATAACGCTAGCGAGTCAGCTGAGCTTGACTCAGCATAAGTTTGAAGTTATAAAGCTAGCGAGTCATCTGAGCTTTGCTCAGCATAGGTTTGAAGCTATAACGCTAGCGAGTCAGCTGAGCTTTACTCAGCATAAGTTTGAAGTTATAAAGCTAGCGAGTCATCTGAGCTTCGCTCAGCATAAGTTTGAAGCTATAAAGCTAGCGAGTCAGCTGAGCTTGACTCAGCATAAGTTTGAAGTTATAAAGCTAGCGAGTCATCTGAGCTTTGCTCAGCATAGGTTTGAAGCTATAACGCTAGCGAGTCAGCTGAGCTTCACTAAGCATATGTTTGAAGGTTCAAAGCTTAACGAACATTCTTTAAAAATTTTTCATCCGAAGTTTAATTTTATAAAAATCACAGTAAACTTTTTTATTTGAAAAATTCGTAAGAAAGGAAAGTTTTTTGCTTTTTCTGAAGCAACGGCTGTTCCTACCTTGCCCAAAAACAATACAGCTCTTCTATAGAGCAGTACGGTTCAAATGCAAAAAACTAAAAGTCTCTAAGATGTCTCGTTATTGAGATTTCTTGCTGATTTACTTGCTTGTTTGCTTACAGAAAAAGTATTTTGCGATTTTCTCAGCAATGCCGCAACCAATTTGAAATCTGTTTTTTGCAAAAGATGTGAAATTACAGGCACAAACTTTTCATCTCTGAACATTTTAAGCTATCTTGTTCCATTTCCTCAAAATTTGAAAAACTGATTTTTCAATCTGAACAAAACCAATAGATTCACACGTGAATACGGTGTGAACATACTTACATTTTTAACGAATCAAATTCTCAAATTATATGGATCAAAAAATTCACAAAAAATAAAGAAAAGTAAAAATGAAATGTTCATTACGAGTATACAGAAATGTAAGATTCGTTCTGCTCCTGATCTATCTTATTACCTTCTCATATAAAGTAAAAAAAGGAGCGTTGATCGAAACCCAACTGGTGCTAGAGTAAAATTGAGAATGTATGAAGTCGAAAAAACTTCAGTCATCTTGAATTTTCTGATTGATTTCTTTTAAATCGCTAATTCAAAATGCTTCTAAAAGTGCTAAAAACATCAGCTGCTGCATTTAGGATTCAGTAAATATTTAGTGATAAAGATTTTTTATGATGTTCAACTTTAAGGCACTAGGTTCAATAACAGAGACTTAATAAAGAAAAAAAAAATTTGAATAAGTTTCAAATAATTTTCAAAGATTATAAGTCCAGAAAAATGTATCTGGACTTATAATCGCACTGGGAGATTATAAGTAAAATTTATAAATTTTCTGGAATTATAAACCACACGTAAGGTTTTTAAGTCCAGATATAAAATGTACCTGGACTTAAAAACCTCTCGTGCAGTTTATAATTCCAGCTGTATTTGTACCTTGACTTATAAACTGCACGTGAGGTTTTTAAGTCCAGGTGCAATTTGTATCTGGACTTATAATCTCTGGACTTATAACCCAGCATCCAAGAATTCAAATTTCAAAAAGCCGTTAAAATCAATAATATTCTTATTCACAGGAAACTATGAAATTCTACTACCTTGATGCCTGGACAGACATGAATAATCGTCCCGGTGAGATTTATCTCTTCGGTAAAGTAGAAGTTCCTGGAAAAATCATCACATACAATTCAATTTGTGTTAAAGTCGAGAATGTCAATCGTCATTTATTTCTTTTGCCAAGAACTCATGTCTATGATATAAGACAGAAGAAACTTACAGATCAGGAAGTAAGCATTGCGGATGTCTATGAAGAATTTGATGAGAAAATATCAAAAGAATTAAAACTTAGTTCATTCAATAGCCGAAAAGTTTGTAAATCTTTTGCATTCACACTACCAGAAGTGGATGTGCCAATTGAAAGTGAATATTTGGAAGTAGTTTATCCTGGAAAGTTTCCAACACCAAATCAAAAGAATAAATGCTCGACAATAGCTCATATTTTTGGCACAAATACATCCCCAATTGAGACATTTATTCTCGAGCGAAAGATTAAAGGTCCATGCTGGCTAGAAATAAAGAATTTTAAAGTCATTGACGCACCATCAAGCTGGACAAAGAATCAAATATCATGTCCAGACATAAATTGTGTCAGTGTTGCTACCGATTGTCAAAATAAGTCACCGCCAACATTAGCAATCATTACCATGAATGTCAAATGCATTTTAAATCCATCCACAAATAAGAATGAAGTCGTACAAATCTCATGTCTTGTAAATGACAAATTTAGTCTTGATAGACCAAACAAGCAATTAGTTACACGACAATATTGTGGCATTTCACGTCCATCAAATAAAAATTGGCCATTTGACATTAATAATCATACAGCAAGATTTAAAAAGTTTAAAATATTTAAATTCGATAATGAACGTGCCTTGCTGACATGGTTTTTGAGCATTTATCAAAGCATTGATCCTGATTTAGTTGTTACATTTGATTCTAATGACTGTCAACTTGATATAATCTGTAATCGAATAACATTCTTAAAAATCCCAAATTGGTCACGAATTGGTAGACTTAAGATGAGTCAGATTCCGGGCAAGAAAGTTATGGAGTTCTTTATCGGTCGACTAGTTTGTGATGTAAAGTTATCAGCACAGGAATTAATTCGTAGTCGTAGCTATGATTTAAGCTCACTTTGTCAAAAGATTCTTAAAATTGGCGAGGATGAACGACAAGAAATTCTTTATGATAACATTCCTTATGTCTACGATGCAAGCACATCAATTATTGACTTTATGGAAATAAATGTACAAGACTGCATCTACATAAGTAAATTAATGGTCGAATTAAATATTTTACCGCTCGCACTACAAATTACAAATATTGCTGGAAACTTAATGTCAAGAACATTGCAAGGAGGTCGCTCGGAGAGAAATGAATTTTTATTAATGCATGCATTTTATGAGAAGCAATACATCATACCCGATAAGAAGATGTGGAAGGACACAAACAGTAAGAATGAAGATGAGGATGAAGGACATAATACGACGCAAATGACACAAGCTGCTACACAAGCCAATACGACGCAAGCACAGAATCAGGGAAAGAAAAAAGCATCATATGCTGGTGGTCTCGTTTTGGATCCAATTAAAGGATTCTATGAAAGTTTTATTCTACTCATGGACTTTAATTCTCTTTATCCATCAATTATACAAGAATATAACATCTGCTACACAACCATTTCTGCTCCTAACGATCCAAATGAACTTCCCATCGTACCAGACTCGAATGTTGAACTTGGTATCTTGCCTGTACAGATTCGTACGCTTGTTGAGAGTCGTAGAAATGTCAAAGCACTCATGACAAAACCAAAAGTTACACCTGAGCTTAAAATGCAGTACAATATTCGACAAATGGCTCTTAAATTGACCGCAAACTCCATGTATGGATGTCTTGGATTCTCTCATTCACGCTTCTATGCGCCACATTTGGCAGCTCTCGTTACATTCAAAGGTGAGTGATTTTTATAGTTATTTTAATTAATTTAATTTGCTTTATTAAGTTGTAAACGTTCAGATATGATTTAAAAGTCCGTTGAATTCTATTTTCAAACAAATGCTAAAATTTGAATCTCATAAATCCGTTAAAATTTGATTTTCAAAAATCCGTTAAAAATTGTTTCAATGACGATTTCGTTTCCTGCCAATCAGGCCGTGACATCTTAATGGCAACAAAGACACTCGTCGAGAAGCTTAATCACAGTGTAATTTATGGAGATACAGATTCAATAATGATCAACACAAGATCTCAAGACTACGATGAAGTCAACAAGATTGGCTTGAACATCAAAAAGGCTGTAAATGCTATTTATAAGCATGTTGAACTTGATATTGACGGAGTTTACCAGAAATTGTTGCTGCTTAAGAAGAAAAAGTATGCAGCAGTCGGTGTAAGTCAAAAAGAAGGTGGCATACTCGATTATAGTTATGAATTTAAAGGTCTTGACATTGTTCGTCGTGATTGGTCGAAAATAGCAAGTAATACAGGCAAAATCATCCTTAATACACTTCTCGCTGTTGACAGTAAGAAAGAAATGGACGAACGTGTCGAGGAAATTTTTGATATTTTAACAACACTCGCTAAAGATTTAAGTGAAGATAAAATTCCACTTCCAATGCTGGAAATCACGAAACAATTAACAAAAGCACCATCAGATTATGCTGACATGTCATCACTTCCACACGTTCAAGTTGCTGATCGAATGAATGTGCAAAAAAATCGTAGATTTAAGAAAGGCGATATGATTGATTATATAATTTGTGAAGACGGAACTGACAATCCAGCTCCAAAGCGTGGCTTTCATATCGATGAAATTAAGTCTGATCATGAGAATGATGTGAAAAAGTTAAAAGTAGATAAATTTTATTATTTATCACAGCAAATTCATCCAGTCATTTGTCGTCTCTTAGAGCCAATTGAAGGCATTGATAGTGCTGTAATTGCTGAGAAATTAGGTTTAGATCCAAAAGATTTTCGTAGTAAGACAAAAACAGTGAGAAATGACGAGAATGATAATGATCAAATGATTAAGACAAATGAAAAGAAATACGGTCAATGTGAGAAATTCATGTTTCCATGTGCTGGATGTAAGCAAATGAACTTTATTGCTGCGCCACTAAAGAAGGAAAATGGAAAGCTAGTGACAGTTTTTGATAGATGCATCAATACTGATTGCAAAGTTCGACCTATTGAATATTTACCATTAATTAAGAATCATCTACGTGCCAGTATAGCTAAAGTCATCAATCGTTTCTATGAGAATTGGTTCGTTTGTGACAATCCAATGTGTAATAATAGCACACAGAACTATGCATGGGTGAGTTAAATTATTCATTTTATTCTGATTTCGATTTTATTTGGGGGGTTATTGTGTCAAAAACTGTGTGTATTGTGCGACTTTTGTAACTTTGTTTACTAAAACAATATATCAAGTGTTATCATGAGATCAAATTTCAACAAGAATGGTGTGCATCTTACGATTTTTGTCGAATTTGCTTTATGTTGCAAGTTAATGATATTTTTAACCAAAATGGTTCACATCGTACGACTCTTGTACATTTTTGATTTTATTAACACCATTAAGAGACTCGTTGATGAATTTGGGTTGTACAAAAGTAGTGCACAGTCTACGATTCTTGTAAAACGCTCAACACAACCCCGAAAGCCCATTCACAAAAGCAATCAGGAATCTCTAGGGGGCCGTTCACTTATTACGTTCGCATTTTAGGTGGGAGGGGGGGTTTGAAAAATTGTAACAAAATGTAACATAGGGGGGGGGGGGGGGTCAAGAAGTATGTAACGTTCTAACTGTCGTCTGTCTTTTCCACCTTATTAATGATAAAATAAATTATGAACGTTCAAGGGGGGGGGGGGGGGGGGTTGTGAGTTGTAACATATTGTAACAAGGGGGGAAGAGGGGGGGTGAAAAAAGTCGTTTTTTTGCGTAACGTAATAAGTGAACGGCCCTTAGATGAATACAATAAAAACATTCATTTCTCGTCCATTAGTCAATTGATGGAACAAACTTGTTATGTCTCGGCTGCATGGAAGGAAACTTGCAACGAAGCTACACAAATGAGGATCTTAATATGCAAATCGATTATTATAATTTCATGTTTAATATTCGCACATATGAATCAGAAGGTAAAATTTCTCAGTATTATGCTAATAATTATGCAAATAATTTACCAACTCATCATCCTTCTATAGTATCAAATCTTGGCGGAGATATATATGCAGCATATAATATGATGTTGGAAATTGTTTCCGAATATTTGGATAATTCAAATTACTTTACTATTGAGCTGAAAGATAAACTCGTCGATTATGAGTACAAGCTGATTAATGAGAATGAGAAGAAAATGAGCTGGAAGCACTTTTTCCTCGATACATATGCGGAAGTGCTGTAAATTAAGTGAAAAGTTTCGTATTTTCTTATTTAAATTTTTTTATATACGGATTTTCTTTTTATTTCTCAAATATACATTTACATCATCATATATAAAGACAGCTTATTATAATTAAAACTTCATTTAGCATTTTCTGCCTTTCTTTTCTTTTTCTTTTTATTAGCAACAAAGGGGATGTAATTTATTATCCATTACTTTATTTCATACTGAATGAAAAATAAAAGTTCTTATTTTTTTGAAGGGTAAAATTCAAAGAGGTGTAAAATTAAGGATTTTTGTGTGTTAATTAATTAGATTTTCAACTATAAAACTTTTTTTTTTGGGGACTTTTTAATTACTTACAGCTTTTTATTGGTTTATAAGAAAGGTGCAAAATGTGGAGCAATCTTCTTGAATTTTAAAATTTATGAAGACCACATTGAGGTAGGTAAAAATGAATTAATTTGGATGTTGGCACAAGACTATACGACCAGCAAAGTTATCTAGATTTCCACCATATAAAACAGACTATTAGTAATTGCATTGTGCTGCAATCACTGAATTTTTCATAAGATTAATAGATTTGGGTCGTTGAGGCTACAAATATCGATCGAATTAAGCTGCTAAATGTCTTTGTGAACTATTCTGAGCATATTAAAAGCTTACTTCCTCGAATTTGCATCGAAACCGCTCGATTTGAAGGATCAAGACTTAATACTAAGTCAAGGTAACCGTCTTAGCTTAATAACTTGAATTGTAGCATGAACATTGGATCAAAAGCTTCAAGATTACCTTGCGAATTGACAATTGAGTCAAAAAAAGACATGATGTTCCCTGCAATGACGCTAAATCACAAGCATTGTAAGCTACATCTTTAACAAAGTAATCTCTATGCTAGTATTTACCTAGGCAAAGAATACAATAGCTATTCTCGGTTTACAGGTTTCGACATGGAATGATTAAGGGATGATTTAAGTCTGATAGACAGCAACTCTGAATTAGCAGCTCTAGCTTAAGTTACAGTCACGAGGTGGATTGAACTTTGTTATATTCAATGTAGAATATTGAAAAAATCAACTTAATATGATACCAATCACTTATTACCAACCTCAATGAGCATCATTCCTTTAAACTTCAGCAAGACTATTCCACCTTCCCATCCACAAAACAAGACAGAATTGAAATGAAGTATCAACAAAAATAATTCAATTTCTATACATAAATAATTTTGTTTTTCTCTTTATTTTTATTTTTTTCGTCCATAATCGATTAAGTTCCATTCTTTATTTTATTACAGACTACCATCGACTTGATTCTTTCAATATAAACAAATTTATTCATTTAGCTTGTAAAATTGGTAGAACATATATTTTTTATATAGAGAGAGAAAGGATAAGGATATAAAATATAAAATAATTAAAAATAAATATACAGAAATATACGACACTGAAATGATACTATAATATATTATGCTTTATACTTCTCTTTTTTAAAATACATGCAGAGATTAATTTTTTTTTTCATGAAATTGCGTAAAAAAACGAAAAAATTATTTTGCCATTTTTCTTCTTCTTTAAATTCGGTTAAAAGCAGGTGACGGCAGTGAATGAGAGTGAGTAAGCGAAAAATTCAAATTCGACGGATTGGTGCTCTATTGTCTATTGGTTTTTCTTTATCGTGTTAAACTTAAAATGAAAAATAATTGTAATTTGGAGTAAAGGGGGTTGAAGAGGTTGTAAGGAAATGAATTTGTGATTTTTTTGAGGAAATTGAGCTAAGTTTGAGTTATTGTTCAGTAAGTTTAAAGATTTTCAGATAGAGTTGCTTACTAGATACCTATGATTAGGTTTAAACGACGATGGTTTGTATTTATAGACCATCTAGCAAGTTCTAGTGTCGCAGTGCCTGTTTGTTAACCATTTAGGGATATTGACTAGGTATCTAATCTACGCCTAGCCTAAATCTAGTCAAAACCTAGACAAATGCAACTGATTTGCTAAGATTAAGCAGTAAGAGATCGCATAAATCTAGAATTTGCCTAGATTTAAGCTTGCAATATTAGTCTGTCCCAGAAAATCAACCTTACTCATTTTAAGACTAATCCTAGTCAGTATCTAGTAAACAATTCTAGTTGTTGCAACATTTCTTCAATTTGGGAACTAAATCTTCATTAATTAAGTAGTGAATCTGTAATAGTCTTTTTATCTTGCCTTTTTAATTCAAATCTAACCTCAAAAATTCATCTCCATAACCCCAACCCACCCCAAAACTCACATTAAACTTATAAAATCGACTTCCATTCTGTACAAAATAATAAAAAAAAATCTATTGCGACTTTTATAAATATTTAAAAAATTATAAAAAAAAATTGTTCCTCCTTTGTTAATTTTAATAATTTTTGTTCTTCCTTCTTGTTTTACTTTTTTTTCATCGTATTTCTTCCCACATTGGATTTTAAATCCAATAAAAATTTCTATTATCTAAAAAATTTACAACAAAATAATAAAAGAAAATGATTTGTGATCTTTTTTTTATATCTTCTTCATATATATAAAAAGAAAAATCATAAACTGAATGCGCGCGCGACTACCCTAATAACTATTTGTTTTTGTATCAATTTGTTTTTCATTTTAGAAAAATTATTTTTTTTTCAACTTTTTCTAAAATTATTAATTTCATTCTTTTTTTTTATGATGGTGAATTTTAAACGGTAATTTTTTTTTGGATGTATGGATGTATGATCGTGTTTCTTTTGATGTTTTTTGACTCAACATAAGTTTTTCGTTTTTTTCCTCTCTTAAGACATAAGATATTAATATGACTTGAATATTTGGATTTTTATACTTTTTTTTATGTATAAGAAAAGGTAATAGAAGACTAACAACATATTTATCTCATTTAGTAGATAGATTTGGAGATGAGTAGCTTGAGATTCATGGATCTAGAAAATATTTGTGGTAGCTGTAAGTCTAATTAGAACCGTACCGAAGTTAACTAGTAGAATTTGCGTTCACAAATATATTCGTCATTGATCAAAGCAGAGGTGGAACTAGGATAGGAGAAATCACACAGCTTCAGGTTACCTCCACGTCTCTGGAACATTTTATTGTAAGCAAAGCAACTTGTAGGTACCCTCCAGTCGGTTTCTTAAGTATACTCTAGCCATATGTTATAGTACATCTAAGAAACAGGCTCAAAGCTACTAAGTTATGCCTCACAAGCTAGTTCCACCGCTGAATGCATGTACCACACCTTACTCAGCTTCAAATCAATCAAATTTCCCAGCAAACAACAACAATCTTGTTAATTTTATTTATATAAAAATTCTTCTCATTGCATTTATATCCTTAATAATTGAGCAATGGCTAGAAGACTTCCTATCTAAAAAATAAGCAATTTTAAAGCTTGTGACTGTATAACAAAGTTGACATTGTGTAGCAGCAATAGTAGTGTAGAAAAATATTTGATGAGAATCGACAATAATAGCAATGACTATAGTGGCGTAGGTTCTTGTACTTCATCATCTCGATTTCGATCATTTTTCGGCACAAATAGTCACCAATGAATAATGCGAATTTGATTCACAATATTATTTCTATAGTAAGCACCCAATACCCCGAAAATTGTACAAGCACATGCAATGGCAATCATTACTTGCATCGCACAGTGAATTGACGATATTGCTCCACTTGTGTCGGGAATTTCATTTGTTCTCTCATTCACATTTCGATTGTGATTGTCACGGCTCTTGCCAAACAATCGCTCCTCGAGTTCTGAATCGAAACGTGGAATCACAGCAATATTAATTTTTTCTGGACTTTCTAGATCAAACTCTTCAGTTGTTGTTGTTGTCGTGCTTGTAATTGTTGTACTACTTTGTGTCGATGACGTTTTATGAGATGTTTTACGATTCTCATTCGACTGTCGATAATAAGGAACTTCTGTTTGTGTTGTATGCATTGGATCGTGTGGATGATGATAATGTGTCTTCTTTGGAAGTCCAAGAACTTCTGAAAGTGGACGATTGATGAGTAAAAGGTCTTTACGATCCTTATCTTCCTCATCAATAAGTGTTTCCATTGTTGTCGTTGTTGTAGTCATTGGATCTAATTGGAAACTTTCATCATCACTGTCTTCTATTTTATCACGACCGTCATTACTGTCGCCATCTAAATCAATGCCTAATTTTTCTTCAAGCTCTTCTTCTATATGTTTTACCTTATTTGTTACTGACGCAAAAAACTCATCAAGTCGATTGATGAGTCGATTCTGCTCTTGGATTGACTTTAGTTCAACAGTTGTGTCACTTACATTAATACTGTCATTATGTTTATTAAAATTATTATTGTCATTATTACTATTAAGTGCCGTAATGATCGATGTAAGATTAGTTATAGGCTCATACTTTTTCGAATTAATACTATTGCCACTTCCATTATTTTGACTCTCATCAAAGTATCGACTAGTATCTCCCCGTACAACTAGCGCAATCTTACCATCCGAAGTCAATACAGGCAATATCTTTTTATTACTCGTATCATCCGATGGAATTAATTTTACATCATTGGCATTACGATTAACAAAATGATTCTGAGAGTACGGATCTTCCCAATTGTTATTATTACTCTCTTTGATTGATGTACTCATGGGAGAATCTTGATTATTAGCATTACTGTTAATGCTACTACTACTACCACTATTACTGCTGGTGCCACTTTGATAGACAAATCCCGCTCGACCACTTGGCGTATCTATTACTTTGACGGCATCATTCTTTCTCAATTTATTATAAATTTTACCCGTTCTATTAAATGCTGAGATTACATTAATGGGATTGTTATCATCAAATGATGTTCCATCATTTTGATTGTTGCTGTTACGATTTCGATTTCTCTGTTGTTGCTGTTGATTATTATTATTTTGTCTTCTATTACCTTTTCTTTGTCTCTTATTACTATTACTATTATTATTTACTACATCTAACATTTGATTAGTTGAATTTGTTTTAATAACATCATCATAATCACTTCCACCTATGCCACTCTGCTCCATTAATATTTTTTCGGTACTAATTAATGGGGCAGCAAGTGAGTCTGGAGGCGATAAGTAGACTGATGGGTCATCTCCCATCATATATAGTTCATCCATCATAATAGATTCTTCATTAATAATTTTATTACCGTTTAATATAGTTGAATCATTAATATTATTATTATTATCCTTATTACTACTAGAAATTATTATTATATCATTTTGTTGGGTAGTCGCGTCTTGCAGTCAGTAGCACTTCTTTGTACAATGGCATTTTCGAACTATTTCTAAAGTCTTAACGTAATCCTTTTTGTTTTTGCATTCCATGCGAACTTTTCGCTGTCGTGTGGTCTTTGCAGCACAACATTGACTGCCACAACCACCAGCACATCTACCCATCTTTACCTGCTGCTTCGATCTGCAGCCGTTCTCTGTGTAAAACTCTTTTGTTTGTATTTTACGACATCGTGGAGCAGCTATGTTTGGGGAAAATAAGAAAAATTCAGCAATTAGCTAATGACATTCATTTATAATAAATAATAATAAATGCTGTGCTTTGCTCATTAAGTAATTTTTTGGAAGAACAAAATAAACAATGGGAATTCTCAGAATATAAGAATGTCTGAGAATTTGGTCGATTAAATAATAAATTACTCGTGAATAAGTCACAAAATTTGTGATGATTTATAGCGTCTTTTTAATGTGATTTTAATGATTTATATGGATTTGATTTAATAGTTGTCTGAGTTGGTCTGAGTCTGTAAATATGCTGAACCTTAGTCAACGATCTGACTAAGAAAACCTTACTGAATCGAGATGACGACCTTCATAAGCACATTTAATTATTATTTTACATCAAAAAGATAGGAGATAGCCATAAAAACATTGATATGATTGATCTGTAGCTTTAATTAGTCCATAAATTTATAAATTTTTAATTTTCGCACGGATTTGGATCCAAAAAATTTCCAAGACTAGTGTCAAGAAAGAACAACATTAAGCACAATGAAAAATTCGCTAATAAAACGACTGAGTGCCACTAGCAACTTCAGCAAAACACAAAATTGCGTGACGATGTCAAATAACGAATAATAAAAAATTATTTAAGGCAAATTAGTAAGCAATCGGGCGTGTATTTAAGATGAATTAAGTTAAGCAGTAATGAATTTGATTGATAAAGATGTAGATGTAGAATGAGAGATGGATAGTTCATAGCCATGCAACGGATATAAATTTAATGATTTTAAATAAATTTTTATTACAAATAGGAACACAAATAAGTGACATTGACTGCCTTTGAGACTTAAATACACGTCAGACTTGAGAAATTTCGGTTAGTGAATTAGTAATATGAAATTAGCATTATACCGTTAGTGGCTTTCTCGTAAGGTTCGTCGTATGCCTCCACCATTTTTTGCGACATTAAGGTAGTGACCTCACCTTGCTCACAGTATCGTCCTCTATAGCCTTTAGGACATTTACAACTATATGAGCCTTTATTATTCGGTATGCATTTACCGCCTCTCTTACACTGATGATTATCACATGGATTTGATATCTATATTGGATATAAAGTGGTCATTAAGTGCCAAAAAAAAAAAAAATCTTTATCACACTTACCTCCTCTTGAGAATCTTCTTCAGGCGGCTCTTGAATGAATTGATCTTGAACACTCTCACCATTATCATCGCCATCAAAGTGTGAGTCTAATAATGCACATCCGGGACTAACTTTTTGCTGACGTGCAGCATTTACGAAATCGACTTGCTTATGATTTATCCACACCTCCTTCATACATCCAGTAAAGCTTGTAATGTTTCTTAAATGATAATGATTATATGCTTGCTGTGCTGCTTCGGGTGAGACGCCGCCAAGAAACATTGCCGATGAGAATTTAACATACTCCTTTGAGCCTTCATTTATCACTGAACGTGCTTGTTCACCATCAACACGAAGGGTTATATTCTTCTTGTAAGCATACAATTCAACTTTGTGGTATCTAATGATAAAAAGTTAAGCTACAGTTTTCGAGAACATGATGACTTTTTTTTTAAAGAAATACTTACTTTCCGTCTGTTACCTCCTCGAAACTATACATTGTAGAAGTTGGCTGATTTCCAACATCATAGCTCACACGAATGCGTTTGTTGAAAAGCTCAACAGCAAAATGCTCGTTGTTATTATTTCCATTGTACACAAGAACGCCATTTTTCTCCTTTGTGCTGAAAATTATGGTAACATTGGCTTCCGGTTTCATTCTTAACGGCTCCATTTCGACGAAGCTGTTATTATGTAGGAAAGTCAAAGATGTTAAATATTCACAACGTTTTCCGGTGTAGCCAGGATTGCATTTACAGATGTAGTCAGACGATGTTGGCTTTGGTTGGAAGCAGACACCAAATTTACATTCGTGATTTTGACATGGCGATGTTTGTGGATACATCATTGAAACCATTGGTGTTCCTTCACAGAATTTTCCTGTAAATTCACTTGGACATTGGCAATAATAGGAATCGATTCCGTCAACACATGTTCCGCCATTTTGACACATGTGATTCTCACAATCATCTATATTCTCTGTACAATTGACACCACGGAATCCAGCCAAGCATTCGCATGTGTAATGTGTAAAATGGTCAACACATTTGGCACCGTTTGTGCATGGATTAAAATCACTTCCGCAAAATTGTATTTTCTTTTCACAATATTCGCCTGTAAAGCCAGCCAAACAACTGCATGAATACGATTGAACGCCATCGACACATGTGCCATTATTTTGACATTTGTGCTCCTCACAATCGTCAATATTGATCTCACATCTTGCTCCTTTATAGCCCGTTGCACATTCACAGCTAAATCGTCCTTCTTCCAAAACGCTGCATTTACCGCCATGTCTACATGGATTTCCATAGCATGCATCAATCATATTTTCACAATGTACACCATGATAGCCTGGAGCACAGCGACATTCGTACTGCCTTTCTGACTTAACAACACATTCCGCATTATTTTTACATGGGAATGTATAGCATGCATCACATTTCGACAATATCTCATTGCTGACTTTCTCTTTGCAAATGAATTGATTTGCTGGTGTCGATAGAATGAGTTTGTCTTTCATTCGTTCTGGTTCAGCACATCGAGCAATACCTGGCTCGACATAATCCAATTTAACCCATTCGGAAAGCCATTTTAGTGAACAATCGCAATATAATGGATTACTTCCCAAAGCACTGTGCATGTATTTCGTGGAATTGGCATTTTAAAAAATTGGAGGTAGAGAAAAATGCATTAACGGATATGAAAAATACGATTAATAACAGAAGAGAGGTATCAGTATCGATTTCACAACACTTTTTATCAGGGATTGAGAAATCTTTTTGGATGTAATAATCAAAGTCGCACACTGCTCATGGTTTCTGACAAACTACAAGAGATACTTATAAGTCAAATCAAGAATAACCACAAAACCGTGCGCAACACACGACTTTTTACAAATTCCAAAAATTTATCATTAAAAAATTCCAGCATCCATATCTTAAATTTCCAATCTAAAAAGCAGCTCGAATCACCTCTAATCCATGAACATAAAATAAAATAATAGCAAGATATAACTTACATATGAGTTATCGATTGTAGATCGTTGAATGAACCCTCTGGTATCATAGAAATTTGATTGCCGTGTAGCGATAAGACACGTAAGTTCTTCAAGCCAGTCAATGCATGTCGTTGAACACATTGGAGATTATTGTAGCTTATTATCCTATTTATTAGTAGGAAGAGGAAAGTTATGTTTGTGTTAATGAATATTTCTCATTTTTTTATGCATGTTATCATGCTTTATGATAATAATTTATTAAGTACGACACTAGTCAATGTACTATATTATATTTATGTCTACTTACAGTGTTGAGAGCTTTGTGAGATTTGTGAATGTGTAGTTGGATAGAATACTAATGCGATTGTTACTCAAGTCCAAGCGTGTCAATGATTTTAAGTGCTTCAAGCGATCAGAATGAATCATTGAGATATTATTTGATTCCAAATACAATTCAGTTGTTTCGGTTGGAATGTTTCTTGGAATTTCATTTAATAAGTTTCTTGAGCATCTCACAACAGTTCCCGTACATGTACATGATGCAGGACAATAGTCATCACCAAGACATCCTTGATCACCATCAGCAGTGCACTTGAATTCATGATGAGGCAATTCTTTAACAGCTACATCCTTCACCTTCGCTGGTGATGCACAACGAGCTGGCGTTCCGCCCAATTGCTTCTTTCTAAGCCAGTCTGAGAACCATGCCAAGTGGCAATTACATGAGAATGGATTTGATGCCAAATTGAGTTGCGATAATGATGTCAATTGGTCAAAACTGCCAGGCATTACACACGAAATCACGTTATCAAACAGTGATCTGTCATGAAATGAACAGGAAAAATAAGGAGAAATGGAAATGAGAATAAATGTAAATATTTTCACGCGATAAGTGTTGGTATGGTTACATAAGAATGTGTTAAAGTCGTTGTTATTATTTGTTGGACTGGTTTTATTACGTATTGAGGTGGCTTGTGCTTGTTCTGACGGTGAGTCAGCATGAATATTAAAAGCTTGTAGTTGTATTAAGTTTGGTTGACTGAACTTTACTTTTAGGAAGGAACTAAACTTAAAGGTGCTTCTTAGAGTCGTCTTTAGTGAGACTCGAACTCACATCTCAAGAATAGAAAAGGTTTTTATTTGTTCCTTAATCACTCGCCCATAGCACCCTTAACCTATCACTGGCAAATTCGGTTACATAAATCTTTTACACCAGATTCAACTCAACACATTTCAAAGTCAATCAAGCAACAAAAAGCTCTTCATTCATTCTACCCATAAATTTCACAAACCATTCACTTCCAAGCTTTTACGATACCCAATTTTATTGCACTTTCATGTGACGTGAAAAGGCAGGAAAATAAAAAAAAAAAAAACAATTTTCGTTTGAAAATTGCTGATGAAAGGAAACAACACTAGAAGCGCGGAAATTCTACGGTTGAAGAGTGAATGAGGAAAAAAGGTCTACAATTAGACTAATTGTGACTATGCCATAATATAGCGTGCTGACACTTTTTGTCGCCTTTTTTTTAGGTCGTAATTAAAATGAATTTTATGGTATTGCATTCACCACCTTTTAAATGAAACGTTAAGGCATTAAAAAAGCTTTGCTTTTCAATTTTTATGTTGGTTTAAAATTTGACATGGAAAAAGCAGTCATGAATGATGCCTCAAAGCATACTTACAAAGTCTTCAGGTTGTGTAGACCGAAAAACATTTTGTTATGCACTTCCGTCATCTTGTTTTCACTTATTAACATTTCCTGAATTTTAAATGCGCCCTCAAATGCTCGTGGCTCAATTCCTGTAATTTGATTACGACGTAAATCCAATTTGACGAGATTTGGCAGACGACCAAAAAGTCCATCGGATTTAATGCGGCCTATCTGGTTGTCATTCAGTAAACTGTAATTGAAAATCGAGAGTAAAGTCAGTCAATGAAAAACAACATGCGTTGATTGATGTCCGTTTCACTTACAGCTCTGTCGTATACAGTGGAATGTCTCGCGGTATTTCCTTTAATCCACGTCCGGAACAATCAACAGTGGTTCGTTCACAGTGACAAACAGCGGGACACTCGAGCGGTTCAGCACGACAATCTGCTGCATATTTACTCCTCAAATCCTCCGTACCTAAATTGTGACATATTCACAAATTAATTTTTAATTGGAATTTCAATCAAACTGATGAAAAACTAATTAAGCTCACATTTTAATTTTTCCTCTCTCAGTGACTCAATTTTCCGACGATGCATCTTCTTCGGTGCCTCACACTTGGCGCCACTCGTTTCGATTGGATTCTTGTGCAAGTAGTCTGCTAACCATTTCAGATTACAATCACATATAAATGGATTACGTGCCAAATGTCTGTGGAAAGAGAATAAAGTTTATGTAATTAGTGCACCTAGATATTGAGGATATTTATGGCGCATATAATTGGCATATTGGATGTCTTTTGGTTTGGGAATGTTGTATTTTTAATTCAACCATAGGAAGCACCTCTAGCACTTCCATTTAATCTTATATATGGCTGAACATTGCTGTTTTAACATTCCTTTGAAATGGACGAAGTGCATCCAATTTTTCATAAATTCACAGAACAAACAGCAATCAAAGACCTTCCATAACTCAAAAGCTCATTGATTTATGCCAAGTGAAAAGAATGTAAACAACTTACAGCGTCTGAATCTGCTTCAGTGACTCGAACGTTCCATCTGAAAGCGATTGAATATTGTTGTCGTAGAGTGATAACAAGCTCAAGCTTGTTAAGTCCTTAAACGAATCCTTACGAATGCACGATATTTCATTTGCATTCAACAGCAACAATTGCAATGATGTTAATCCTTTGAAGACTCCCGCAGGAAGCTCCTTTATTTTGTTGCCATAGAGTACGAGCGAGTTGAGAGATTTTAATCCAGAAAAAGCATCGTAAGCGATACGTGAAATGTTGTTGTTGGACAAATCTATTCTTCTTAACCGACGATGGTTTGTGAATGCTTTTGGTGGGATTTCTGTGATGTAATTTTGCTCCAAGCGACTGTGAATAGATTGAATGCATTAGTAAACATGAAATGAACATTTAAAGGGGTTCTGAACTTTTTTAAGCAAATATGATGCAAAAATTTCGCATCATTTTTACTGAACGCACTTAAGATGCAGAAAATTTCGCATCATTTTTACTAAACGCACTTAAGAGGCAATTTGTTTGCATCATTTAGTAAAAAATAATGGAATAGAAACGATATTGCAATGCTCGGGTTCCAAAATAGTTGAACATCCTTTTAATGAAATCTTAGATAAAACTTACATCTCAGTCGTATCCTCCGGTAGAGTCAATGGAACATTTGCCAAACTTTTCTCACGACAATCAACAATTCCTTCGGCACAACGACATGGATGTGGACATAAGCTTCTTCCACCACACTCAATCGGTGCATGTTCAGTCAATCCTACACAAAATGTATCAAAATGCAAGTAGCAAGCAAAGCGAGATGTGATATGGGTAATATGGGAAGGAAAGAAAACAAAGAAATGTCATAAAAATAAATTATTGACTATATGAATGAACAAATGAGATATTTATGTAAATTTCGTTCATTGTTGGATATTGGGAGGGAATTGGTAAATGCCGAAATATATGGATGAGCATTCACGGAAGATGTAAAGCGACAATTGGCCTCACAAATGTTTATTGCTATTTTATGCATGAAATGAACGAAACGGTACACAAATAAAAAAGAGACACTGTGGGATGTTGCATGTTATTGAAAACTAAATAGCATCATCACAGTCATCATCATCATTACATACCTGAACATTTGAACTCTTGATCGTGCAAATCAGCCACGTTTTGTCCTTTCAACTGACTTGGTGAATGACATCGTGTATATGGTGCTAATCGCGGTGCACTTCGTAGAAATTTTGAAAGCCACGACAAATGGCAATCGCATGCAAATGGATTATCGGAAAGTCGTAATGCTCGAAGTCGTGGCATGTTCGAAAACATTTCACGCGGCATTGATGTTATGTTGTTGTTATTCAATGTGAGAATTTCCAATTCATGGAGATTCTTGAATGCCTGCTCATCAATACAAACAATCTGATTGTGGTCTAATTGAAGACTTCGAAGTGCTGTAACGCCTTTAAACATTCGCTTTGAAATTGCAGCGATCTCATTATTTGATAAGTCACTGGATAAGGGTAATAAAGAATGAATAATTGAGGACGAGAATTGGATAGAGGGATACTTACACTCTCACTAGATTGGTCATGCTCGCCAACAAATTATCGGGAAGTGCTTTAATTTTATTGTTGTTTAATCGCCTGCAAAAAAGAGAAAAAAAAAAGTTTGGGATTACAAGACAAAGTTTTAATAGCTCAGTAAAGTTCATAAAAAAATAAAATATTTCCCCATTCCCGAGTATGTATTTGGCACACAATTGACGGGAGTTAATTTATTGCAATTTGCTTTCGTACTTGTTTAAATAAATGGAAATAAAGGAGACGACAATGAGGCAAGTTAATTAATTCACACAAGATTGGAATTTCAATTAAATTTAATTTTTTTCACAGATTTTCTGTTTTTTTTTTGGTGTGCATTTGAAAGTCGAACATTATAAAAATGGAAATAAAGGAAATGAATTAACAGAGTGATTTCATTTTACATTCCGGTTGTGGGTTGAGGATTCGACAGAATAAAGTTCGGATGGTTTTAAGGGAATTGGTTAACAGGCACATGGTATTGTGGTTATTGGACGTTAAGGCATTGATTCATCTTCAAAATCTATTACAAACTATGAATTTTCGCAAAAAAAAAGGTGTCTGCGACTATAAAGAATATCAATTTATTTTATAGGATTTGAACCCTTTATGCCTTCAGATTTTTGTCAATTTAATCTTTTACATTTAGTTTTACATCTTAATTGTCGCTAAAACTTCATAAATTGAAAAAAATGCCAGACAATGCCAAAATTTTTATATATATATTCCCAACTCAAATTAAAACCCCCTCAAAAAAAAATCTCTTCACAGCAAAAAAATGCCATTCACATTTATCTGCCAAAAAAAGAATATGCCCTATAATTTAAAATTTTTATTGCATTATAAATACTCACAGCCTCTCCAATCCAGTGAGATCTGCAAATGCATCCTTCTCGATTGTGTGCAGTTGATTATCTGTTAATTGTCTGTTGTTATAATTGCATCGAATTATGGAAGTGAAAAAAAGAAGAAGAATAAAATGATTGTGAGAAATGAACAACGAATAATAATTTAATGAGCAATTTTACAATAATAAAAATTATTATTATCTCAACATGTGCATGATTCAGAGTGTATGTTTATATCCATTCTTTTAATGCTGTTATTAAAATTGAATTTATGCATTCATAAATATTTACATGTATGATTGTTGGCGGCATTTTTTTAAATTTTTGTTTTATACTCTTTGGTCATTTTCGTGTTGTGTCTTGTGCCTGCTTAATGATGATTATTACAGAACGGGTTATTTTTGGGATCAGATGTTGTTTTGGATGATTTTGTGAATTTGGTGTAGATTAAACTTGTGAGAGAACTAGATTCCAGAGAGAGAGAGTTTCATGGGTGCTTAAACTGAATGACACAAGGATTCATATTGAAAGCAACATTGAGATCGGAATCATAGTAAGATTCTTATAGACATTCTAAGACCCCCTCTTCCCCAGTAATGATCTCATTAATTGACATAAACTTTACCAAATCACCTAAACTTCCCATAATTAAATTAATTAAAATCTTTCTAATTAAAATAAAGAACCTCCTGCCATCACCTCAATAAAGCACCATAAACATTAATTTTCAAAAAATTTACGTCATCCTACAGCAGTTGACTCCCAATAAATTTTCGTCACCTAAAAAATTTAATTTCAATTCAACCAAAATGAAATAAAAAATTCTCAACGAATTAAATCCGCAATAAAAGCATCCAGCATGTCAAAGAAATTATCGAAATTAGAATTGACTCAAGTCCGCAACTCAAATCTCATCGCTTTTTCCATTAACGCAACAACTTTATTACTTGTTTTCATTCTACAAGAGACTCTTTTTTTAATATCATTTCTGTTTCTCATCTCATTCGTTTGTTTTAAGTACCATATTTCAGCTCATTTCTCATTATAGTTATCTCAATGACCATTGCGACATCCAATGCTCGCTGCTTCTGCGAGACCGCAACCGCATATACTTTTTTTTATATTCACTTTTTATGTTTTATATATGCTTTTTCCATAGCTGAAGGAGATGAGAAAAAAATAATCTCAAAACTCTTTAATTTAATTGCATCAACTTTCCTCCGTACCGTTCTGTGTTCCTTTCCATCGTCGTCGACGTTGTCCACAATTTCTCTAATTAAGCCATAAAACAAAAAAGTTTTTATAGGCTACACTTTTTTTTATTATGCTCTTTACATTTTTTTTATTTATTCAAGAGAATTTTTTACGAGAAAAATACGTAAAAGCCCGCTGGAAATTATTTATGGGAGATTCTGAATAGGGAGTTCAATGATGGTCCATTGTACATTCGCAGGAAATGAGCTAAAATGTGGGATTTTCTATGATTCTTAATGATTTTTTTGGATTGAATGTACCGTTGTGTTTTGGATACAATGTATGTACACTTATGAAATCTGGAACAACATTGAGGAGGAAGGGAGGAGGTAGAGCTCTTTCGGACAACATTTAATTAAAGGGGTAAAATGTGGGGGTTATGGCTGAATGTCGTCTTCAAATGAATGACTAGGCTTCGCTTAAATCATTAGGAATCGAACGAGTATCTAAAGAACGTTTTCTGCACCTGACAACCATTAAGAAGCACTCATCAACCCAACCAGCTGCAATAATTCAACAATTTTATTCACAACCCAACAAAAAAACGATCAAGTATAATATAATCAAAGGGCGTCACGTTGTGACACGAATCCCTACATTAAAATGCATCCATAAATGCTCATCTTCAAAAAATCATAAAACTCGAGTGATTTTCATAATGACTTTTAATGACAATCGTTCATTCACACACCGACACACATCAATTGGTGTTCATCAGCGCAGAGATTTTTTAATTTAAATTTGTCGGTGGACAAGATGAGCTAAAGAATTAAAATTCAAATTAAATGTCGGACGATGACAGATAAAAAAGAAGATATACATAAATAACTCGATAATGAGATCGATTTGTAACATTTTGATGTGATTTTTTTCGCGCATTTTTGGATGAAGTGGAACGACTCAATACAAATGTGATAAAAATCATGGCGAGAAATCATAAAAAGTCCATCACTCGAGAGAGTAGCGCAACAATTTATGGTTTATTAGTGTCAGAGAATTTGCGAAATCATTAATAATTTTTATTATCGCACCCTCGAATTGAGTGTTCGACTCATCAACATCATATTGAGTATATCCTTAATAAAATGATAAATCGCAAGTAATTGAGTTGTATTTATTATCCATTTATATTCTTTTTTGGGTATATGTGTAAGTTCTCTGAAATCACTGGGGTGCCGTGACTCTAAATGAAAAAGAATTTTATAAAATTTTTGTTATTGACCTCGAAAATGAAAGTCAAAAACCCGAGAATAAAAGAAATCATCAATACTTAATGGATATTTTTCCTCCGATATTAAATCGAATCAAAGATCATTAATCTTGCGGTCTCACAAATGCCTAACTGCATATACATAAATTGAAGGGCAGAATGCAATAGAAACGGTAAATTAAGATAACGAATAAAGCTAATGGACGCAGTCTCATTGTTGGAATCTTATCTATTCAATAGACTCGACTCCTATCTGTTCAATTAACTGACTGAAATTAAAACTTCTCAAAACGTTTCGACATTTATTTGTCAATTTCATTAATCAATCAATCAAGACAATTGGAATTTTACACACCAGAAATCAAATAAAATAACTCAATTTCTGAGTGACTAAATTTGATCTGGAGGCGATCCCGCATGACGATATCAAATTTGTTTAGTTTCAGAAATGAAACTATGCATAAAAATCTTACGATCGCGCTCATGTTGCGTATATCAAAGTCAAATAGACTTCATATGAAATCATTGGAGAAGAATGAAGTGGAAATGAAAGAAGAAGAGGAGAAAAGTTGAATAATCATTTCAATTTCTCGCCTTGACGTGATCTCTGATCGATTATGGTAAATTTCATCTTATGGACACTCCAATCATGCATTTGTTTGTGGGTCTTCTTGTTGCATCTCGTTATTGATGTGGAAAGTGAGTTTCTAGTCGTACTTTGTCTTGTCGTGGATGTTGATTGATCGATTTGGTGTCAATATGTTAAAATCAATTGGTTATGTAGGATGTAAATTGCTATTATGACTGGTAATTGTTAATGCTGTTCATGTTAATTGTTCTGACTCAACAGAAATAGCAATGAAAGATGTCTAATAATTAAGTTAAAGTTTGTTTTGATCGATGTTTACAGTTATAGTGATGAAGTGAATCTGAAGCTTGTTATAAATTTTAGGGGGGCTTGCAACTATTTTTTCTTGTTTGAATTCAAATGACAACTTTCATTTTACTTCAGTGTTGCATTCTGGCTATTTGTCTGGATCAGATAAATTCTGAGACAGAAATTTCTTTATAAAATCGATTCTACATGTAGAAAGAAAAAAACCATCTACATGTAGATTGTGTCTACATGTAGAATCTGTCTACATGTAGATTTAATGTAGATGTCTACGATTCTACATTCTTCTCTGATGTAGACCTGGAAAAAATGTAGAATTATAGACATCTACATCGAATCTACATGTAGACAGATTCTACATGTAGACACAATCTACATGTAGATGGTTTTTTTCTTTCTACATGTAGAATCGATCTTTATGAAGAAAGTTTCTTAGCTAGACAAAAACTATTGAAGAATCTACATTCTTCATCTAGTGTAGACATCTACATTTGCAACACTGTTTTACTTACAAAACATCCTCAAGAATCACTTAAATGCGCTTTAAAATAAAATACAGCATAAAGCAACTTCAAACCAATTCTATTCATCGTCATCTTTCAATTGAATTATGGAGAAAAATTTGTTTATGGAAATTGATTAAATTTCATTTGATTTCTCCATAAATAAATTTTTTTCCCTATGGTTCTAAAGAAATAAAATATCAAAATATAAGAATAACAAGAATCAACATCGCATCAGTCACCCGAGACTTGATTTAATAGCCGATTGTTTGTTTAATTTTCTATAATTTTTATTTTCAATTTTCACATAATCAAATCTATTCAAAAATAGATTTGATCATCTTACCATCCTCGTTATTACAAAATGAGATTGAAATATCGCCAAACTTAAGATCCATAAATGGATTTCCGAGACTCTATCGAAATTATTAATGAAAATCGATAAAGTAGAGATTTGTTTACTTTATTGGACAACAAATTCCCCAAAATTATTTATCGCTATAATTAAGTCTATGTTAAATATTCAACAAATTATTTGATGAGGAGGATAGACCCAAAAAAAGATCGATAGATTCAATATATATGTTGAAATAAAAAAAATTAAAAGATTGAAATATTCAGTTGATGAGAGGCGTGGACAAATAAAATCAGAAGAAAAAGCGAGGAGAATTTGTCGGTTATGCAAAATACCTGTAGCATCTACAAATAATATGTAAATGAGCGTGTGTGTGCGTGGTCAGAGAATCTTTAATCTGGCGTTGATATGAAAAGTGTTTGTAATTAATTTCATCTCTGATTATTCGTTTTTCATCATGTAAGGGTTTTTAAAGAGGTTCCAATTTATTAATAAAAAGGTATTTAGGATTTATTAAAAATTCAATCTTATACAGCATATAAATATTTATGAACCTGATCACCAAACGCATCGTTATAACTCATTTAACAAGCATATTAAAGCCACGCTATGCGGTTTTGTGTGTGCTTTTTTTCGAATCCATTTTCAATATCATTAATTTGAGTGCCACAAGAGAATATCAGCACGAGATCTGTTCCTTTGGCTTCTTCGTTGTCGTCAGTACCGAACTAGACATCATGGTTGTTTCTGAATCCGGCTGCTACATCTATTATATAACAGCCATTTCAAACATGAGACTGACAAAGAATAACCATAAGACTGCTATTGCCATAATGTGCTGCTCGGGATTATCTTTTTTCTTCGAAGAAAAGTAAATAAATAAATATCAAACTATTCAGCCCCAATTAATTTTAAATTTGTATAAGAAGCAACCAAAAAGCGATACTTTTAGCTGACTTTTCAAGATACTTTGAGTCTTGTAGTTCATGTCATCATGTCTTCATTTTGTCATTTATAGAAATTTTTAAGGATTCGAACTTAAGTCCTCAAGAAAGTCATAAAGCTATTTACTATATACACCCACTTTGATGATATATTTCATTCCCAGTTCTATCTCCTCATTATTTGCTTAATAGCCATTCCTACATCACAAAAATCGAAATTCCAACTAATTTTTCCCCCAAGCACAACAAATTGATTCCGGAATGCTGTATATTTTCTCATTAGTGATTTGGTTTTCTGTTGCTTCCCAAATAAAAAAGAACAGACCAGAGAGAATAAAATTATCGTTTTCCATTCTCAATATTCCATTTTATCAAAGTCCGAAATTGGAGACTGAATAATTGCGAAACCATCAATAAGCTATCACGAATACAGACACTAAGAGATGTGCCTATGTGAAAGAAGAAAAAGATATTGATTGGAGTCATTTGTTATCCATTGCCAATGGTCTTCTGCCAGCAAAAAACAAACTTTTTTGGTATACAGATACAGTCACATCCGACGACTCATTGATTATCAATTTGTGTCACAGAATATCTTTTTTTCCTGAACCGACAAACTGATTTTGATGTACCGACCGCACTTTGTGTGTGCTTTTTACATAGAAAATTTTCAATATTTCATTATGAACCTCCTCCTCCTCCAAGACGTATCATTCAGTGCAAATAAGAGACAAGAATTTGAGAATGGATGAGTCAGACAATGGAATTATAGATTGGCATACTTATTTGAATCCTCATTTCATGTCCTTTATCTCCTATGCTCATAGAAATATTATGGATGTGTGTGGCAACAAATAATAACAATTCATGATGAATATTTTTCCATTTTTCAAAAAAAAAAGTTTTTCCTTTTCTTTTCTCGTCTCTCATTTCACAACTTTCTTAGGACATTCATGTGAGTAGCAACCAATGAGTCGAGAATAAGAAGAAGAGTCATTGTATGGCGGAACTCTATCTCGATCCTTTTTATTCCATTCAATGTATATGCTGGGGTACTTCGCAATAATCATATATATTTCATCTTATAGTGTATTTCCAAAATGCATGTTATGTCACCCTTCTTCATATATCTATCTATCTATCTATCTTTCCTTTTTTTGTGTCCTTTTATCCTCATGAAAATGTCTTTTATGCCAACACCAGCAAGAAAGAGAAAAATTGGATATTCTTATACAATTTATCTTTCATCAGAGGAATAAAGGATGGAAAATAAGTGCGTTTATGAAAGATGTAGTATGGCAAGTAGGGATTTCTAATGGGGATAAGGCGCATTTTTCGTTGGAAGGTTGAATGGAATCTCCTTGGATGAGATATTGAAGGAAATAGCATGTTTTAAAGGATAAAGACAGTAAACTTATTTGGAAAAGGAAGAATCTAACTTTGGGGTATGTTGTGTCCCCATTGAGTTTGGACTAGTATGTAGTTTTGGTACCCTTACTGACATTACTTATGACATAACCAAAAAACCTATCACAATGAGTATTGGATGTGAAATTACAGTCACATAATCCAATATCTAATTCCATGCAATATCTGACAATATCGACACCATTCTCATCCAATTTCATCTTTCATCCTACACTCCATATCCAATAACACACCAATTCCAACTCAAGAGTCAACAAAGTAATAAGAAAAATATTTCGCACGAACGAAACAAACATTTATAGACACCAAGAAAGCTAAGAAGGAGTCGAGGACAAAAAAGAAATATAATTCGATGAAAAATTGTGTCTATAGATTTCGTTATTCGTTTTATTATCGCAAGTCACATAAGAAGAAGCTAAGAAAGTTTCTATAACATCATTCCAATATCTTCTCCTTAACTCCAAAATAGACTTTCCATTTTTCCGAAGGGACACTTTTCCTTTTCTTTATTGTTTGTTTGTCTCTTGAGTGTACGAATAGAAAAAATTTCATTTTTGACAATAAAAAAAAATTGCGTGTTGTATAAAAAAAGTATAGAATGAGAGCTAGGGGTGATCCATAGCCACATACAATCATACATGTGATGATAATAATAATAAAAATAATAAGAACGAATGAAAGTGTAAGGAAAAGGCCAATTTCTATGGCAGTGGAAAATTGATATTACGAAGAAGCCAAACACAAACGTTAAGTGAGGAAGATGAGAAATATTTTATTAACATCTCAACCTTAATCTTACAAAGTTCACCCCTATAAGAGAAAATTGCTGGTAACTGTGGTGTTATGGGAGGTGTGGTGTTGGTTTGAAAGATTGAACGCATTTTTTAAAAATATTTTACATTCATCAAAATTAATAATTAATCAAGATATAGTTGAATTAAAGCCATTTTCAGGCTGGTGTCAAAATAAGACTCAAAGAATTGTAACTTAAACTACAATAATTCCAAATTTGAAATAAAGAAAGATTATTAAAATATTTTAAAATTTTAAACTTTAACGGACTTTTAAATTTTAAATTTAACGTATTTTTTATAATTTGAAAATTAAATGGATTGATGAAAAAGTACAATCTACAAGGTATGCACGTGTTGCTACTGACTGACAAACTGTCCAACAGAATCTCAACATCATATCAATTTGCATCCTTAAACACACCAAAGAACAACAGCAACAGTAGTCTTGGGTTATGAAAATGAAATGATATGACTGGTGTAAGGCACTGTACACGTAAATTCATACACGCGTAATAGCATGCAATGCAAAAGGGCGTCTGACTTAATGGTAAGCCATCAAAAAACTTTATAATTTTTTTTTTCACTTTTCCGTCTGTAAATGCTTATGGTGGGTTTACGTTCATGTATTTTTTTCGTGTGTACTTTATTTATAAAAATATGCGGTAACAGAAATGGCCATAAAAAATAATGTAATAGGCATTTTTGCGTCCCCTTGAGATGTATTTTTCTTGTTCTTCCTCATCCTCTTTTTTCATGCCTCCTTGCAAGTTACACACTATAAATTTTACTATACGTATTGCAAGTGAGTGAAGAAAAAATGCGTAACGTACATGAACTGAAATACGGTAATGTTTTCTTCCGTTTTCTTGTTGATGCTGCTGGTGGCATGGAGGGATTTATCATAGAATGAAAATTTATTAGAGCGATAATATTGGAATGGGAAGGTGGAATTGCTGCTTGAGTTTTGGAAAATCGAAATTCCTTAACACAAAACACTCCCTTTATTAATGCTGACGTTAAAGGCATTAGTGGTTGGTATGAAGGGGTAGTTGTATGATTTGAAGGGGTTGTAGCGCAGTTTTTGGCTACTGAAAGGTTTCAAATCCTAAACTATCAAGTTCAAATCCTAGAATTCGATGTTTTAGAGTAGCTTTAAACTAGCTAGAGTTATTATATCTTCAAATCAGTTCCCTACAAATCCTGAAAACCAAATCTGATCCAGCAAACCCAAACTGAACTCTTAAACTCAATCATCACTCAAAACTAGTTCACTTCCCCAACAAAACTGCGTTAAAAATACTAAATAAGATAAAAAACGACGAAAATAATTAAAATGTGGGTAAATTCTTTTTCATATCTCCTTCTCTCATCCATCGGCATTTGTTGTGCAATAAATTTTCCACATTCTCACTTCTTCGATTACTTTCTGCCGTTTCCCCTATGTGTGTATCATGATAAAAAGATTACTCTTACCGCCGACAATTTTAATGTATTATTCATTCATTGCAAAAACCACAAGAAGATTTTCTTCTTTATTCATCCCTAACCAGCTTTGTTTTTTTGTAGCACAGTAGCTGGTGCGATTATATTTTTTTGGAGTTTATCTTTTGTTCTTTTTTTGCTTTTGCGGTTCAGTTGAGATAACAGATTTATTACTAAAGAAAATTACTCTTGATTTTTAAACTTATGGTGTGTCAAAGGAAGAGTTTTTGATTTTTTTTGCATCATTTTTTCGCATCTTTCAATTAAGTTTGTAATTTTTAATGCAAAACTTTCAAAAATTAAGTTGGAGATGCAAAAGAATCTAAAAAGGAAGCAAACGAGATGCAAACTATGTCAAAAAGATGCAAACTATGTCAAAAAGATGCAAACTATGTCAAAAAGATGCAAACTATGTTAAAAAATGCAAAATAAGAAAAAAATATGCAAGAAAAGACGCAAAGTGTATCAAAAGATGCAAAAAGATGCATGTAATTGAAATAGAAATTAAAACACTTCGCATCTTTATTTCTAAAGTTTGGCATCTTTCATAAATATCAAAAGTTTTGCATCACATTTTGCATCAAAATCAAATTAATCCTTTGACACGCAGCATTTAAAAAAATGTTTTTAAAAAAATACTTACAAAATCCTAAGTTTCGATAAGTTTATAAAATCTGTTTCGTAAATAATTGTTATGTTGTTTCCTTGGAGATCCCTGTAAAGATACAAATTAAATGAAAATTAAAGTTTGTTAATCTTCTTAAAACACATCAATTAAATAAACAGCTAAGAAATTAAGTGAGCTCAGGCAGGTGTTCTTACCTCAAACCTTCAAAAATATCAAAAATTACTTAATTCCTTGGAGATAATTATCGAAAAACTAACTCCATTATTTGCCAATATACATTTATTACGTAATTATTTAATTCAATATTATGTTTATGTTGCATGTGATGCTCCCATATCAAATCGTATCATCATTACGCAGGGCATGAGTAAGGAACAAATTAAGGAAATAGCTAGCAATTAATAACATTTTTTTCTAGAAATTGATGAGGGAAGAAATGAACATCAATGGCAGGAGCTTTGTTCTTGTCATTTTCCATTTTGTAAGTTACACGAGGAGGAAGTCAACGAGATTGATAAATGAATCTACCTGAACATGCCCCCCTTCTGAATGTTTTAAGAAATTTCAACACATTTTTGTTGATATCGTAGCTATAAAGGGAGTGGAATGTAGCGAGGAAAGGATCTCATTAATTGCCTTTCACGTGCTTCTCTCTATGAAAACATGGAATTTCTATTTTCACTTTCTTCTTCCTTGACTTTCACTTCTTGGTTTTATGTCTGATATTTATACTACAATGTACGGTTTATACACATGTAGCTAAGATGGAAATTTATTGCCTACAATCTTACACATATCTTTTATGTAGTATAAGAAATAAAGTAAGCAATGTCCGTGAATGAGAGGAGAATAAATAAGATTAGGGGATACAATATGGATATCGGGATATGGACCGTTCAGTTATAAGGTTACGAAAAAAACTCCCCTTCTTAACATGTGATAGTAACGATATTTCTTACCAAATTGTTGCCAACCCCCCTTTTCTTTGAAGGTTAGTTTATACAAAATAAAAAAAAGGTTGAATGAACAATAATTACGAACAAGCATTTTTTAACTCTTTGCCATAAATGGGTTAGGATTCAAACCTTTGACTTTATACGCACTGTTTTTCTTATTCATTTTCTTTCTGAGCTTCACTACTTCAATATTCATTTATAAGAATTCGGCATCTGCGCCAATATAAACTCTCTCGAACCCCCAAACGAGCAGAATCAATGAAGAAACTCCACGAAGCAGCAAAAAGGGTCCAATTCTCCTCATCTCCATTTTTATAAATTTTTCATAATGTCTTAATTAATTTTTCCTCTTTTTTCTCTTTTTTTTTAACTTACAACAAAATCGCAAATTTTTCCATTTTCCTTCATCACCACAAAATAGATTCCGCCCAGCAAACTAAACTATAATATGCTCCTCTCCCATGTGCCTTTCATTCTCGATCTCTTTTCGCTTTTGCGTTTAATTTATTGCATAAGTTTTCTTTACAAATTTCTTCTTTACTTCTCTGTTCTATGTGCGCATCTATGGCTATCGCATTAAGTACATTATATTTGCTGTGTGTGAAACTAGATGGTTGGATTCACTAGAGTATAATTAATTTAATATTCTCTGACATTTTTCTTTAGCTTAGTTTTGTGTGTTTTATTTTTTTATTTATGTGCATGCACATTTAGTACGAAAAATTAATAGCATTTGGATTAGGGTTTTCAATCCCGGTCCAAATTTTCAATCCCGGGATTACGGGATTGAAAATTCTTGATCCCGGGATCCCGGGGAATCCCGGGATTAAGAGATTATTAAAGAAGCCTTAAAATTTCCAATAAATAAAACATAAAATCTTCGTTTGAGAGAAAATTTTTTAATTTATATTTGTTCTATGTATGTTTATTGTTAATGATTAAGCAAAAAAAGAAAATTAGATACTTATAATCTTAAAATAAGGTTTTCATTTTGGAAAGTAGGCTTTAAGAAAGCAAAGGTAATCCAAAGAATCATCAAGTAGTCGAGTGCGAAGTTTACTACAAAAATAAAATTAAGAAAAACAAATCGTCACTTACTTACATTTTTTTTTATGATGAGGCATATTAACAAAATTTCAATGAGTGTTGTGCACGTCAGTAGTGTTTTGTAGTTTTTAAAAGCAATAAATCAAAATTTCAATGATTTTGAATTATTTGTATTTCTTGCGAACCTATGACATGCCAAGAGACGATGTCAACGTTGATTCGAAATAAATTCAAACTCATTTCGAATGTTTTTCGAACAAAATTTCGCCATTTCGAAAAACATTTTTTATGAAAATTTCAATTTTTCGCAATTTCCGACTTCATTTTCTTATTATTTAAGAATTAAATCATGCTTTTATGTTTTTTAACGCTCATTTAATCGTTAAATCGGTGATAAAAACAGCAAACATTAGTTTAAAATGCTTTTTTCAAAAATATTCTAAATTTTTTGTTGTTGTTTACTTTGAAAATAAAAATGTCATTAATTCACTTGTATTATTTGTTTAGTAAATCAGTAATGATTCATTACATTTGAGTAGATTCATTTAGCAATTTGATGATGAAAAACCAATATTGATATAAATAACCAATATTAATAATTTAACGTGTAAAAAAAATTTGAATTTATGCTCGAAAATAAGGTACTAAAAAAGTTCAATATCGAAAATAAGAAAATAAGTTTTAACTACTAACTCAATCCCGTAATCCCGGGATTGAAGCTGGTTTCAATCCCGGGATTGCGGGACCAAAAAAAACGCGGGATCCCGGGATCCCGGGATCCGGGATCCCGGGATTGAAAACCCTAATTTGGATAGAGTTTGTTGCATGTTTGTTTGTTTTATCGGGTCTTGTGTATGCTTCTTTATTGTTTTAGTCCGTTTGTTCTTCATTTTTAAATGCTTTTGGCAGCTTTCTTGTTGTTTTTTCTTGGAGATGAACATGAAATTTACGATATGCAGTTGAATTGGAGTCGATTTAATTAAAGTTTTTAGGTTAATTTAATTTCGTGGATGATTTTTGGCTTCTTTTGAAGTTTTTTTCGTGCTTAGTTTATTTTTAAATTGTGAGAATTGGTAAGTTTATGATTTAACATATCCCTATTCCAGTCTATTTTGAAAAAAGTGAAGAACTCCATAGACCCCCTCCCCCCAGCTATAATAAAATAACTTTGCCAAAAAATAATCAAATATCCAAAATCCAATTAATTGCTGAGTAATTTTTCAATAATTCCCACCAAAAATAATCCTATTAAGCACTTATATCCTCTCATCCTCAAAATAAAATCCAACAAATAATTTTAAAACAAAAATTAAAGCCACCCCATCAAAATTTTCGAAAAAATTAATATTTTTGTTTATTCAACAAAATACCTTAAAATAACAACAATTAGAATACAAATGGAAATGGGCATGTCTGATTGCTTTCGGAATTCCGGAAGTCAAAACATTATTAATGCAGGTCGTAATTTCTAAATGATAATGGCATAGAATTTTTTGGTGATGTCGCACTCATAGAAAAAAAATAACAAAATGTTTGTAGCTTCTATGAAAAATGTTAACAAACAATTCGTTAAAATAGTGTTTACGAAACTTTTTGTTAAAATTTACGATTTTTTTGTTAATGTCTAAGTTTAAATTTTCCGTTAGCATAAATCAATATTTTTATCAATTTTAACCAATTTATTGTTAAATTCAACAAAATGTTTGTTAACATGTAACAATAATTATAGTAAAAGTAACAAAAGTTCAGTTAAGTAACAACAATTTTTCTGGTTGAAAATGACGAAAATTTAGTTAAATTTATTGATAATTTTAAAATATTACAGTTAATTGTATTCATTTAACAATCGCGAAATCTTGCTGCGAATTCCATTCGTGGATTTACTATCTATGATGCTTAAATATTTGATGCTCAAAAAGGTATAAACACTTGTGTTAGCAGCTGGGTATTCAATGTTGAATACATAATACATCTGCATTAGGCGCTCAAGCGCAAACAAAAGTGAATTAACACCCTCAAACAAATATTTCATATCCTCTAAAATGACACAAAATTTATCCTTTAAATTTTCAATTGAACCTCCCACTCCTATTATTACAGCTTGTTGTTTGAGCGATTTTTGATTGTTCTTTCTAATCCAGTTTCTATATTCTATTTCCATAGAATTTTCATCATCTACCAGCAACAACATAAATCCAAACGAATCATACACCGTTGGCTTGTAAATAATTTTTTTTTTATCACCACAGGATACTCTGTCACCAGAAAGTAAATTGTGTAAGCCCAACAATATAGTTGCTAGCGACTGATTTGGTGACATGCTACTGATTTTTGAAAACTTTATCGCTAGCACTTCTTGAGCTTTATTTCGCTTTAAAATTTCAATTGTTTGCTGCTGTGATTCATTCCAGCGATCCTTAAAATTCCTTCCGGGATACAAATATTCAAAGTCGATATTAATCTGCAAGAACGATAAATGTCGAAGTAAAAAAATTATTAATTACATAATTGTACTAAATATAAATAGACACTTACCAATTCATGGCCATCAGCACGCAATAAAGCTCGATAAATCGATGAAAACTTATATTCACTCATTTGTTTGAATGCATCTATTCTAACTTGCGAACTTCTTCGCCAATGCGATTCTAAAACTGCAAACTCAATATTTGCGGTTGTAAATTTCACGAAGTCATTCGAGTTTACTTCTTCTTGCGTAAAAGCTTGATTATTAGGTTCCAATGTTTGATTGTTCTCGGCTTTTCTCTTTCTTGATGATCCTGGCATCAATTTATTACTTCTCAACGTTCTTAACTTGTTGTTATATTTATCATAGAGAACTCCAGTATTCTTATAATTCAATTTGGAGTAATAAATTGATGCTAGTTCCTTTGGATATGTAGCTTGAATGTCTTCAGCTAGCAAACCGAATTCTCTTGCTGTGATGAGTTGTTGTTTTGCGAAAAAGTATGAGCATATAAGATCACAAAGATCACTTTCTTTGGTTCGTTCAAGCTTTAGGTTTCGATCATTATCATGCAAAAAGTCTCTTCCAATTTGTGTAGCGTTGAGAATAGTTTCTATTATTCCAGCTTTAATCTATAAAAAGTTTTTTAAAATTAGATCTTTTTAATTACATAGATTTTTAAAATTTGTAAGACATACGATTGTTTTTGTTTCCAGTTGCATTAACGTTGTATGAGATGTTTCTAATTCATGTTTACATTTCCATTCTTTATAACCTTTCTCGAATTTAATACACCAACCTAGTTTGAAGCCTTTCAATAGCTGATGTATATAAAATGAATCAAGATTCAGAAAACAATCATAGTCAATTTTTTCCTCTAAAAAAATGGAAAAATTGTCATGTATTTTATTTTGTAAATGTTACGTAAGCTTATAAAAACCTTTAAATTTTTCAATCAAAAATGACCATCCCATATCAGTCAATGCTCTTGCTACTAGATCTTCTTCGTTTTCGTCGTAGAAGTTTAATATTTCAATTTCGACTTCTGAAATGAGTTCATTTTTCAAAAATTTTAAATTTTTTCTTCAATTACTACAAATAAGTTACCTCCTCGTTCTTCGTTATCATCCAACCAAGCTTCTGTTTCTGAATTTTGCGAATTACAATTGTTAATCATTGCTTTTCACTTAATTGCACAACTTTTAATTCGATTTTCATTAACCTTTTATTTTCACGCTGAAAACTAAATTGTAACAAACATTTTGTTGAAAATTACCGAAATTTTGTTAGAGTCTGGTTAAATTTAACAAAAATTTGGTAAAATTTTACAAATTTTTAGTAAATCTTAATAAATTATTTTGTATGTTTCTTAACGGATTTATAAAGGACATTATTAAATTATGAAAAAATGTTTATTAAATGAATTAATATATAACATGTCTAATCGAACATATAATTTTGACATACAGGTTTTAAATGATCCAAATATTAAATATTTTGTCAATTTCTCGTTTCTATTGATTTTTTTTTGTTTTAAAATAGCAATTTAACTGACTAAAGCTAAAATTTACTTATGTATATTACTTTGATAAAAAAATAATTTAAGATTTAATATTAAATTTGTTTAATGCGGAAGTATAATTCACCATTTGAAATTTTTTGTAGATTAAATGGAAGTGAAATTACATGGTTTAAATTAATCATATCAAATGTATCGATAGAATTGCCTACTTTATAGCTTTTCAAATGATTTACATACTTTTCTATGCAATAATTTTCTAAAATAAAGTAAAAGTCATTTAATACAAAAATAATTTCATGGATTTTCCATAATTTTGCTGGATTGATAATATCATCGACAATAAAATATCCTTTTTCATAATAAGTTTTTTTGTGGCAAATTTTTGAACAGATAAAAGTTTGTTGTTCTTGCAGATTAGATATGTTTAAACAACTGAAATATGGTTTTTTACAAAGCTTTTCATGTGTTATTAATCTTAAATCTTCATGATTTGTGGTTTTCATGAAACCTTGTTGATGCGTCCGAACTAGATGATTAAATCTCATTGCAGATTTGTAGCTAAGTGATTTCGCCAAGTTTTTACGCTGTTTACAAACATATGCATAATTTTTAACTATTCTGTTTTTTGATTCATATGCAAAGGTCATCATAAATCTATATATAAAAAAAAAAAAAAACAACATTTTTAAAAGTAAAAAAAATAAAAAGTAAAGGTGTAAACTTGTACCTTAACGGACCGTTATACTCAATGCAATGAATATAATGAGTAATAAAGTGATGCTTTGGCTTGAGAATATTTCCAAATAACTCTTTATATAACGAAGTATATTGCTCGATGGAAGTTTTCAGTTTGTTTAGTAAAGTTTCATTGAAAGATGCAGATAAAGCAATATCAGCAATATCAACCAATAAAAGAAGAAGTAACCAATACTTATTATTTGAGGGTATCATTGGGCCGAGCATTAAAGGGAGAAAATAAAGAAAAGTCTTTACCTCGCTTGCACTCATCTTTAATGTGTGGTTTTTAAGGTGATAATCTGATATTGGTAAACTTAAATTACCAATCTCAATCGTACCGTAATTAAAATTTTGCTTAATATTATTAATTACGTCAAGACTGATTTCTGGTATCTCCTTATCATCTACGAATTTTTTTAATATCATTGGCACATCACATTTTACTATTCCTTCAAACAGGTCGTGCATTAAATCACAAACTGCATTTTGGGTGCAATGAAAATTTCTCAGTTCATTAAATAAGCATTCGGTTCTTATTCCTGTTTCTTTCAAATCATTTTTTAATAAGTCCATTTCGTACCCTTTGATTGTTCTTAAATCTTCTTTAGACGGATGGATGTTTTGTTTTGTTTGATTTTTACTTAAAGTACATATCCGACAGTATTTCATTGCATTGAAACTTGTAGAAAATCCTAATATTTCATTCAAACCCAAATTGTCTCCAATGATTCTTGCCAATGCAAAATAAATTGTTAATTTAGTACCTTCAAGTTCAATTGTTAATCCATCGTCTTCTAACTCCTTTAAAATTGCAAGTAAACTTTCCATGCAAAATTTATGTTCGTCGTATTTCAAATGAGAAGGATGAAGGAGCGCCTCAAATATATAATCTGTACCTGACAGCAAATGCTGTGGGAATGTTGGAATCGAAAAATAATAAGCTGTTATTTTATGCGTGCCCGCATTGCTGCCCAATGCATTTCCGGTCTCAAAATCATCAGTATATAAGTCCAGAGGAATAATTATGGAATTTTCGGGATAATTTTCTACTATTTGTTTCCATTGGTTACCATTCAAAATATTTTTAATTTCATTTTGTTCTTGTATTATTTTCATGTTGTCCAAAACGGTATTTAATATATCTGGAAGCTCGAACAACTTTTTAAACATGAACTTTATAGGCATTAAGCATACTTTTTCTTTTATATTTCCTAGAACTGATGCTCCTTTTTTATAAATGTTTCCAATTTTATTTGTCACCACAATATCATCACCTAAACAGATACAAAAACTTAGATTGTGCATTTATTAATAAAATAAAAATCATATACCATTAATTATGTATCCATTTTCCAAAAGACACTGCTCAAATTTATACTGCGTGTTAAATCTTTTGAAGGCTGCATCAATCATCTTTTCATCACTCTGATTAATATTAGTCAATGAAATTATTGGATCAACTATGTCCTTCTTAATTTTATTAAGGATTCCGTTGATATCTTCTTTTGTCATATGACTATTTGCATGTAAATCTATCAGAAAATCTAATAAAATTCTTTGAATTTTGTTTTGTAATATATCCTGTTCAAGATCATCCTGCGCAAAATCATCATTTGTATTATTTAAGTCGGTATCTTGAGGTAATTCCACAGTACTTTGTGAATCATAATTATAATGATTCATAGTCTGAATTTCATGATTAACTTCACATCTGATGCTCGCGATATGATTTTCGTTATCATTTGGCTGTTTTAAAAATTTGTGTACTCTTGATAGATGTGTAATTAATGCATTTGAAGTCATAAATGTCCCCTCACATTTATCTATTGTGCACTTAAATGTATTTAAATCATTTAAATGGATTATATTTAAATGAACTCGATATGCATCGTAATAACAAAAAAGTTCTTTGCATTTTTCATCACAACACTTTATTAAATTGTCCATAATTATAATTTAATTAACAAATTTTAAAAATAAAATCTTTTCACGTTTTTATATTTATAACAGAACTGATAACAAATTATTTGTAAAAGTTACAATAAAAATTGTTACTCATTTCTGTGTAAGATCTTTAAAGAATAATATTTTATACATAGATATTGATTGAATTTAGAAAGAGACAATGTATTATTAATATCAGATATTGTTAATTAATATAAGAATTGAAATTGTTTAATAGGAATGTAAATTAGTTTTTTTAAAACAACAATTAAGTTGCTCCTAACGAATTAAATTGTTAATTTTAACAAAAATGTTTGTATATTTTTTTACAAAGATATTGTTATTTTTAACTAAATGTTAGTTGAGTGCAACAAATATATTGTAGTTTCTATTATGTATTAACAAAAAAAATTGTTATTCATGTTTTACTAAAATTTAACCAGAACATTTGTAATTTTTTTTCTATGAGTGCGACATAATTCTACAATTATGAGAGAGGAAGTTGTGGTGGATGTTTAATTGATGGGTTGAAAGGTGCGCATTCATTAAGGTTTGGTGAGAACATTGAGATTTAATTTTTTTTGAAAACTTAAAATTTTTTTTTGAAGATTTCGAATTTTTGGTTTTTTAAAGTTTTTTATGATTTTGAAATTTTACACATTTGTGAATTTTTTGTGAAGATTTTGAATTTTTTTCATTTTTTTATTATTTGAAGATTTTGAGTTTTTTGAATTTTTTGAAATTTTTTAATTTCAAAATTTTTAAAATCTTTTCATATAGTTTTGTAAATTTTTCAATTTTTTATAACCTTCAAATTTATTTTCATTTTAAAATTTTGGCGCCAAAACTAGAGCAAACTGAACAGCACTCTATCAAAAATCCCTCATTAAAAAGTTAATGGATGGATGAGCATTATCATTGAATTCAATGAAATATGAAAATCAAATTGATTGCTTAATGAAATACAGCCGCTGTAGTTGATGGAGTAAAAATTATTTTTCAGCACCATTGGGGTTGAAAATTTTATTGCCTTCAATTTTTTATTACTCATTGTTATCACAGCCGTAGTTAAAGTTTTATTAGATTATGTTTTGAAAAATTTATGTAAATTAGTTCACTGAAAAGTCATAACTTATAAAATTGACTAATCTAATTAACCCCACAAAAAAAGTATGAAGATGAAAAATAATGACAAGGAAGACCTTTTTATCATTCTTAACCCACCCACAATTTCCTTCTTGATGTTGTTTAGACACCCAACCTTAAAAAAATCTTTAAGAAATCTGATTAAATTCATAAATCCTTTACGCCACAAAAATCATTAATAAAGACTGTATGCTGTATGGGGGGATGTCTTGTAACTTGAAGGAGATGATTTTCCACTTTATAGAATATGGAATGAATTTTTTGGGGAGCATAAAATAATAAATAAATAAATAAGGAGAAATGCTAGACAGCGTGAATAAGTTCACATAACAGAAATGATAAATCTTTTTGTTGCTGCTCTTTTATTCATTTTTAACCACAATATTTTTTTGTATTTTATTTTCATCTTTTTCATTTCATTTTTGCTACTTTTTCAGTATTCTTCTTGTTTTTGTTGGTTATGATGATGAGTCTCGAAATAGAAGTTATGGATATAAAAAAATTTATATTGAGATTGTTGAAATTTGAATTTTTTATATTAAAACATATTTGTAATTTTGAAAATTTAACGGTTATTTTAGATTTGAAACTTAAACAGTTATTTTGTATGAGAAATTTTGAAAACTTTCGTTTTGATTTTTAATTTTGAAGAATCGATATTCTAAATTCAACGGTTGAATTGAAATTTGAATTTTTGGAAAACCTTAATTTAAATTGTAAAAACCGTTATTTTCAAAACAATCTCGAATCTTTTCATAAACTCATTTTTCACCAAAAAAAACTGTAAATCCAGCAATAATTCTCAAATCTTTAAATCCTCATCCACCTTTAAGTCATTCCTACATCCATCCTGAACAAAAATCTCTAAGAAATGTGCACATTTTCTCAGTAATAAAATATGAATGAATAAATGAATATGAAGACGTAGATTTTTTTTTCAATTTTCTCAACCACATTTTCTGCCAATTTTCTTTTCAACATTTTCCTGTTAATACAGCAAGGTATAATTCCTCATATCTTACAATGTATACAGTCATGAAAAAATGATAAATTCCATAACGTCTATTTTATTACTACACAACTAACTGTTGTTACCACATTTTCATCCCTTTCCTCGCTCTCTATATTTTATAGACAAACTCACGAGTATGGAAGCTAATGCATTTTCTTATTTTTCTTCTTACTATCAGAGATTTTTTCACTTACTTACATGAAATGCATGTATACACATAATTTTGTGGACCCTTATGATTCGAACTTGGGATTAGTGTCAGATTTTGGAAGTGAATTATTTCTTCTAGGCTTGGGTGCTATTTTTGGTAGGGTCAAGATTTAATTACTCTCAAACTGAATGGTAAAATGTCAAATTAAATTATCTTTAGAAATTGAATGATTGGCCAAAATTAGTAGATGTAGGATTATATCACTCTTTGAAAGCATTTGGGTTCCATTCCCAGTTTCAAATCAACAGATTTTTTTCTCAAGAAATTTAAAATTGCTTTTTTTGTTACAAAAAAACTAGAAAATCTGACAAATTTCTTACAACATTATAAAATTCCAGCAGTGATTCAATTTGTTTTTGTCTTCTTCTTTTATGCTCCATAAAAAGCATATATAGTCATACAGAACAATATTCATTTTATCCCCACATTTAATGTCATCTTTCGCCATTTCTTTTCCATTTTCCCCTCTAACGCCACATCCATGAGAAGGATCATAAATTTTAATGTCCACAAAAAAAATGGGTGTCCATAGAGTCGACGAAAAATAGAGACCGAGGCGAGTACTTATATGCGGTGACAGGACCGAATAAAATTCTATTCCCAACTGGGATGATGATCATCCATGTTCTATGCATGTATGTAGAGTTAATGGCATTTTGGACATAAGTAATCTCTTTGTTGTGGTCATTATGCTTCATTCGGCATACATTTAAGCTACACATCATTTAATACGTGCTATATGTGTCCTTTGCTAGTCTCTCGATAAAGATTTAGTCGTCATATATGAAAGGATGAATGTTATAGCCAAAGCAGCTACACACAAAAAAAGTTGCGAGAGAGAAAAGAGAACTTCAAGCCAAAGCAATTGATCTTAATTATGTGCTGACACAGGTCCATTAATATTATACACATCTCTCATTCCATCATTAGTTTCAACAAAATATTCTCGGATTTTTTTTTCTGCTGGCTTGTTTGTTGCCATACATGAAAAGATAGCACTGAAATGAGTGAGGGAGTGTGGCAGAAAAGAATAAGAGAAAGAGATGAAATTGTAACATTAACTTCCTGCTTTGCATTTTTTTTTCGTTCAGATTTGAGACTCGTGTGTGCACTAGGATATGTGACTCATTGATTTTAGATAGATTTTCAGTTAAGAGGAAGATTAGAATTAGCCGTTAATTTGGGGTTTGAAATTTTTGATCAAAAAATTCATTAAAAGGTTCGAAATTTTGAATTCAAATCTCAAAATCCCGTTATCAATTCTCTTCAAAATTCAAAAAATCACATCAGTAGCCAACAGATGAGCATAATTATACTAAACAACAACAGCAACTTTGCCACATCCATAAAAAAAAAAGAAGGAAGGAACAAGAGTGAAAAGACTGAGTGATGGTTAATGTGTCTAATTAAGCCAAATTTATGATTTGTTTTTTCTTTTCTTTCTCGTCTCACTCTCCTCGTTCCTGTGTTTTATTTCATTTCAGTTTCAGACAAAACAGTAAAAAGGCAAGAGCATAAATGAGAAAAGAAGAAGATCTTCAACATAAATTGCTGACATATTCGTCAAACAGATGTTTTTTTTATATGCCAAGTCTTCCTTAATGTAGCATTTTATGTGCTCTCGTATGATATATGCATGCATTTTGTGAAATTAGAGACAAACACACAAAGTACTACTCATGATGATGACGATGATGAAGATGAGAGAATTTCAAATCTCAAGTCTATTTACCAATCAATTATTGAGGAAGATTGTCTGTTGTTCTTACTGTTTATCTCATCATATTCTCTTCTATACTTTATGCTTGTGTCGATCAAATATGTAGGACAAAAGGATGTACATTCTGATGATGTGTGTCCATATGTTCTTGTGGTTAGGGATTATGTTTAGATGTTAATGGCATAAACACTATGAGGACATATTATCATTATAAGTATTATTATTACTTCTATTGAAGTGCATTGATGAGAGATTTAAGGAAATCTGTTGACAATGAATGAATGAATGGTGAGGTATTGAATATCCTTAAAACAAATAAATACAAAATTATTGTGATGATGTTGATGATGAGACACAACCGCAAATATTTAAACTATATTCTGAATGAGGCTTAAGTTTTTGATACTGTTACATAAGAGCATCTGTCTTTTTGGAATAGTAAATCTATCATCATTATGACATTTGAGTAATTATTTCGGGAACATGCAAGGGAATTGCTACTTTTTGTGGGTAACGGTTTTATTTTATTTGAATTTTTCGAGTCAATAAAATACGTTAGATTTTGAAAGTTGAAGCGTCAAAAAATTCTAATTTCAATATAACCGCTTGAGTTTAAATAATAAAAAGCCGTTAATTTTAAAAATCTTTTT